CTAATGAGTGTAATAATCATTTTACTCCAACAAGATTTAAAATGATCATATCAGCAGGGGGTGTTTCCGATGGTTTGGTTGGGCTTCTGTCCCAGAAGTGAGAGCTTCTCCCACATTAACACAATAATGGAAAAGCAGTGCAATTAGTGACTGTCCTCATGGGTCCCATCAGCAGCAACAAGGAATCTATATATGTTCATTTGGGAGCTGTTCCTTTTTGTCGTTTTCTTTGTCTTTCCCGCTCTGCTCTCTATCTAAACACAGAGAAGAATGGTCCACGAGGAAGAAAAGTATGGCAGAAGAAAAGGGGACAGTGACAGGTTGAAGGATACCTCAGTGGAAGGGCACTGAGTACATCCAGTCCTCAGTCAAAGGGCTCCGAGACTCTGCTAGATGATCTTTCTTTCAAACGTACACTGTAAACCCGGATAAGTAGAATGTACTTAAAAAAATCAAGGTAACTCGTTGCCTTAAAAAATTTAAGTAATGTGGTATTAGTTGTATGAGTGCAGTAAACTATGTTAAATGTACTTGAGCACCTAATGGATTGGAATAGAATATTTAAGTTGTATTTACTGGTAATCAAGTTGTAGTAACTGACGATATGTAGTTGGAGCAACAGCTTAACACCTGTCAATTAAACTTAGCTTGTTAAGTAGGCATTACTGCATTTTAGTTCAATTCAATTGTGTATTCAAATTGACCAAACTTATATTTTTTAGTTCACAAAACTCAAAACGTGTTAAATTAATAGAGCTGTACAAAATACATTTCACTTCAACTTTTTATTGTTTTCATTGAACATTTTATTTGTATCAACAAAAGAAAATTCAAAGCCCAAAAGATTTTAAATGAGCAGATCTTGGATCTTACATGGCAAGCTGATTTTTAAGTGTTTGAAGTTTAGGCCTCAGATCTGTCTTACCCAAGTTAAGAAGTACCTGCTGAAAAAAATCAAAGGTGTTCTTCATGTACTTTGGGTAGCTGAGATGGAGTGCATAGGTAAGTCCAAAGACCGTGTACATGGCCTGCGGAAGGCTCTCAACTTCCATCACTACATTTCCCTCCAGGATAATTCCCACTGAGGATACATTATGGTGAATGGACTGCTTGTGTGGAGTTATATTTTCTTGTTCATTGCGGAGGACCCCCACAGGAACATTGTTGTGCAAACTTTCTTCATCATTGTCCTGAAAGAAATAACAGTACATGACTTTGTTAACATCTTGCAGTCAACAGCCTTTACTGTTATGCAGCCCTGTATAGAGTTCACCCCCTGCCTAGTTCAGAAATTAGTGCAAAAGGAGTTAAAAAATGATAAGAGGCACATGATTAGGGTTGGGAATTGAAAAGATTTTCACGATTCCGATTCCCTTTTCGATTCTATGAAACGATTCGATTCTTAATCGATTCTTTTTTCGATTCCAATTTGGGGGGAAAAGGAGAACAAACAGTTTGATTATCAGAATCAACTTTGTTTACTTAACTATTGCACAATCTTACAAACTCAAAAAGATCAAGATGTCCACAGGAAATGTGAAACTGGAGTAACATCTGTGTTTAAATGAAAAATGAATACAAGAACAAACTTAATAACCAACAATGTCTAATAACAAATGATGGGATAATAACCTATTTTAAATAACAAAAAATACTAATTATAAAACAGTAGTAGGGAAAATTAACAGTTCTTTTGCAGAAAGATGAGCATATCTGCTTTTTCTGGAAGGATACGGGATCTTTCAGCGCTTATGGTGTCTCCAGCCGTGGAGAACACCCTCTCAGATGGGGTGGAGGAAGCCTGCACACAGAGGTAGTTTTCAGCCAGTCCAGATAGCAAGGGCAGCGTATCTTGCTTGTTCCACCACCACAGTGTGGCGCTATCCCTGCAGGGGATGGAGGGCAAGCTTTTATAGAGCTGGATTTCCTGATCTACCCTCTGGGCTAAGGAAAGACGGGGCTTTGATTCACAAAGTGACCGCAGCACGTTGTCTTCCTCCTCGAATAGTTCTTCCAACTTGCGTAACTTGCGTAACTTGCGTAAGTTGCGTAACTTACGTAAAAAACGTAACGTAAGTCGTGCTCCCCAGAGCCGGCGCTCTCGGCTCTGGTGCTGCGGGAATCGAAAAAAGAATAATTCAGCGAGCTGCCAAACGATGCCATGGAATCGAAAAATACGGAACCGGTTCTGAACAGGAACCGGTTTTCGATTCCCATCCCTACACATGATACAGTTTTGGATGGTGCCTTTTTATGTATGCATACAAATCACATCAACATAAATTAAAAAGAACCAGTTAAACAATCATTTCCTTCTGTGGAGTAAGGAAAATTACAGTTAATAGAGTAAAGCTTCTTTAAGTAACTGAAAAATAGCTTTTCTAACCAAGCAAGATAACTAACAAGCTAACATTAGCTAAGTAGCCTTTGCTAAGTACTGTAGCAAAACAAGAGATTAAACTTACCGTTTTGTGGCTGAACTCACTTCATTCACCGAGTGCTTTAAATCTCTGTGGAATGACTTCCTTGTTATGAGTTGTTGAAGATCTCAATAACGCTGTCGTCTGTTTTGTCTCAAAATGCTTCGGAGTTCCTCAGTGCCAGCTTTTCTATTTCACTCGCTCAAAACTGGTCTAAACCGGATTTTTCGCGGGCAGGTGGATGACGTGAGAGGCAAACTAATGATATTGAGTTGTCTGAGCTCAAATACATAATTACAATAAGCTAGATCATTGGAAAGTGGTGTTTACTCAGAAAAAATAGTTAATATAAAGAATTTAGTGATACTAACTTAGTTTGTTTAAGTCCAAACCATTGACTGTACTTAAAAATATAATTACACTGAAAAAGGACATAAAAAAGTTCAGCTTAATTGAAATAAACAAGTAATGTCAGTAAATTAGACCTCTCTAAGTACTATGAACTCAGTTTCTTTGAGTACAAACAAAATCTGGGTTTACAGTGTAGGCTGCCTGAGCGCCGGAATATAAATTAATAGTAAATAGAGCAATGAAGTAGAAGGAAGGAAAGAGACGCATAGAAAGGCAGAAACTGCGGGGGGCATTTTATTCCAGTCTTGAAAAATGGTTCCAACTTCTCAGGACCCGCCTCTGCTCCCTCTTTATTCCAACCAAAACTGTCAACTGTGGTGTTATCTGATGGCTTCACTGGTACAGGCAGTGATGGGGGGAAAAAAAAATATACAGAAAACTCTCCATTCACAGTTAAAGCCTTTACCTTGGAAAAAAAAAATCTTGTTAGTGCCTCTCCTAAACTTGAATAGATGCCTTTTTCCCTCCACTGTTGAAAAAAGGGGTTTGAAAGGAAGACAAAAATTAAAAAAGACTGTGGAGATTAGAGTCTTCCACCCTCCCTTGTGGTTCTTTCAGAGCACTTGAACAGCCGAACAAATGCAGGAGACAGCTTGAGGCGGTGGGGGGAAACGCTGCAGGGGGGCTGCCTTCATTCTCTCCTGAGGTAGCTGCAGACAGATCATTTATAGGGCCGTTTATACGACTCTGGGATACTGTAAGCTATTTATAATGTTGCTTTCTGTGATCACAGGGTCTATCAAAAAACTCTGCTTACTTTAACTTACAAAAATAATCCATAATCCTTAAACTTTTACACATTAAATGAACACACAAGCATTGATTGATTTTTTTTAATAAACGAAAACCAGAAAAGTATGAGATTCATTTGCATTTAGTTCCCTTTATACTAATATGCTTATTTAAAAATCAATTACACTATGGATATTAGCAGGGGTTACAGGAGCTGGATAGATTTGGAATAATAATAATAAAAAACAGTGAGACATAGCAAATGTCAAGGACAGAGGAGGAAATCAGCCTGCAAGTGGGTAAAGTTCCTAATTATACATCCAGACAATCCTCAGAATGATAAAGTGGCCTAGTCAAAGTCAACCCCAACAAGCATACACCTGGATTTAAAAACCAAAAGAGGCATGATACAGGTTAAAAAAAAAACCTTTTTAGCACCTAAATACATCACAGATTTCCTATCAGTGTATCAACCCTCCGGACCACTCAGGTCTTCTGGCTCCAGTCTGCTCTGCATACCTAGAACCAGAACTAAACATGCAGAAGCAGCATTTAGTTCCTATGCTCCAATTATCTGGAACAAACTTCCAGAAAACTATAAAAGTGTGGAAAGCCTGAGTTCCTTTAAATCAAGACTAAAAACACATTTGTTTAGGATTGCCTTTGACTGTTCTAGTTAAACAGTTCAACTGAAACATCATTAGTTCAACTTTTTCCTTTTCTTTAGCCCAACTGTTTTTAATATTCTTTTTTTGTTTCTGCATTTTTTTATTTTATGTTTGTTTCCTGCTTGTTTTGATTCTGTTTTATTTTCCTATATTTTAATCATGTAAAGCACTTTGCAGTGTCTTTGTACTGAATTGTGCTATACAAATAAATTTGCCTTTCCTTTTCCATATATAGTTTTGTTGTTGTTTTCAAAAAGATTTTAGAAAGCAACATCATTTGACGAAATCATATGTTTAGTCATAATGTATGAAAAACATGCAAGGTCTGCATTAGTAGTTGAAGAAGTAGTGAAAGTAATCAGAAGTTGGCTTTTTATGCCCCTTTGTTTAAGTATATGATTGTTTTTTGTGAATTCGTTTCTATTTTTCTCTTGGGGGAATTATGTGAGGAATATGTGCATTCTGATTTACAGGATGATCAGCCTGCAGGATAAAGTTTAGCCACTAGGCGGCGTGGCTTTGTGAGCTATTGCATCCTCTGAGGCGCACAGGCGCTCCGGTTGGACCCCGAGTGAGAGCAAGTTTGAGCGCAGGAAACTCTGCAGTGTGTGATGGGCGGAGGAAGGTTGGGCCCAAAGGCACTGTGGCCAGGAAGTGGCTCGAATTACAACTTCTTGTGAGTGGAAAAGGGGGGAGTAGGGGGGAGTAACACTTTTTGGATGGAAGGAGGAGGGCGGTGTGTAAGACGTAAGAAGGAAAAAAAAAAAAAACATAGTAAACCTGACAAAAGAGTCTGAGAGGACTGCGCGAAGGCTGTCGGCACAGGACTGGAGGGAGACGCGTAAAGACGCTCTTTGCCACGGAGGGAACCGCGCTTGGATGGATTTTATGACATTCCGCATCGGACAACTATCCTCCGCTCCAGATTCAGCCTCATTCCACGTCTTTAGCGCCTGCAGACTTTTGGTTTAGTTGACAAGTGTGCAACTCGGACGCTCCGGGCATGTTTTGCGCTCTGGGAGAAACTTGGTGACGGGGAGGAAAGTTTCTGTGAGGGGAGAAAGCCACTTGGTTTTTATGCGCTGTTTTTTCTCAGGATCATATGCGTAAAGTCGGATTTCCTTGCATGGCATTGGACTGCGGCTGTAAATCTGCTTTTGGATATTTCTGATCAGTGTCGACGTCGGCTGATTGTGGGATAGTAAGCCGAGAAAAGGCAGCGCCTCGATTTCTCCTTTTTTTCTTCTTTTCTTTTTTTGCTGCACTGTGGTGCTGAAAACGTTCCTCTCAGGATTCATCTCTTGCTCACTACCTCCTTATCTCTGCATGTCAAAACAGAGATCTTCAAGATTTTAGTCCTCCCTGGTGAGTGTTTTTGTCTGTTTAGAATAAAGGCGCAAACCTCCATAAAGCATTGCATGGGGAAGAGTTCTGCAGTCATCCTCAGTTTGGGAACAAATCATTTCTGCGTTCTTGGTCTTAGTTTGCTTCTTAGACTTAACTCTAAAGAAATAGCTCTGTCCAAGTTATTATAGACATTTGGAAAAAATGCATTCTGCGCAAAATAACTTTACTTATAGCTATCCATCATGTAAAAAGTAATGGGTGAAGTTAGATAAGATTCCATATAGGGTAAAGTTTCAGTTTTTTTCGTTTCATTTAATTTTTGGAGCCAAGCAGAGGTTTAGAGAGCACTCTGCTGAGCGGATAAGTTTCTCAAACTTTCCCTTTCCACAGCATAATACTGCCACCACCATGCTGTGTTCTGGGTAAAGCGCAGAGTCAGTTTATTTCAGAAAGTGGCGCACTGCGCTGCACAACACCTTGCCTCATCATCACTTTAGAGCTCATTATAAGTGTCTTGGTTATTTATTACTTGGCTTAATTTTCCTACACGGCATTTATGGTGCCAATTACCCCATGACTGCAGTTGTTTTTTCACTGCTTGGTGCCGGAGCCCTAAATCACCGAGCAGCTCCAAATGAGCTCCCATTGTAGGGGGAAAAAAAGCCAACTGATTTGAATTTCAATGAGAATTCAAGCAGTGCCAAGATGTGTCGTTCAGAGCCTGAGGAGTAAAATAAAAGCAGTGCTCATATGTGAGGCAAAAGTTCTTGTTTGCTGCGTCAAAATCCAAACTATGAGCTATGCAATGAGTGCATTTGTCAAACAGTGCGCGCTCAGCTGTTTTTTTTTTTTATTATTATTCGATGATTTCGTTGCTGTCGGGTTTAGTTTTTTACACAGAGTTGCAAAATATATGTATTTTAATTTAGCTCGAGGAAAAAATTCGCTTTTACCAATGGGTTTTGAAGCAATAATGTGTAATTACAGCAATCAAACAAAAAATATGCATGCTTTTCACTAAGCTTGTGCATAAATCCAAATGTGCATCATTGACATCAGTTGTCTGAAAAAAAAATATGCAACCACTTTTGGCATTTACTTAATCGTATTTAGTTACTTTAACACAATTGTTTTATGTACTACCCTGCCAACATGAAACAATTGTGTTAAAGTAACTAAATATGATTAAGTAAATGCAAAGTATTCAGTGTATATCCGCTGTTTAGGTATCTTACTTTGTCTTAAACAGACTGCTAAAGGTATTCAGCTGAATTCTCTTTTTTTTCCTAGGTGAAACCTATGTATCTTACTTGATTTAACTTATTTATTTTATTTTAAATGCAGATTTCTAATATTTATTCATATTTAAATCACCTCTTCATATTTTATTCATGCTATCCCAATAAGATTTTAATTTATTTCTATCAGACCCATTGATTAGCTTGATAAATGAAGTATGACTAAATACATATATATTAGGCATTTTAGATGAGGTACTTTCACTGCTTCCAGGGCTTCTATAACCTCTTATATCAAATTGTTTAACTGGACTTTTTGTTCTTAAATTAGGTCTTGTTTAAATACCAAAAAATTGCACTGCAGTTCTTAGTTTTGAAGAATCTGTATCTAATCTGAATCTTAATTCAGTCCAGATTTGACAGGACTAGATGTTACTGATTTGTAAATAGAGCTATTTAATGGTCGATAAATCCCTGGTAAAAGTTTATGCTCAACTTTTCAAATTTTGAATTTTGTCATATAAAAAGTTTTTTTGTTTACAGATTAAGTTTGCATATGGGTTTTTAAATCAGTGCTCTTTTAAATCCAGAATCCGAAGTCTTTGGGGGTGAAACCAGCCGATTAGTCCAGCTGGAGCAGAGGGAGTGCAGGAAAGCGTGACTTTAGCAAACCTCCAGAGACACTTAAACCGCGCTTCAACCGCAGATGTTTGGTTAAACAGGCTGATACGTGGGTCCCAATATTGAAATACTGCATTTCAGTTAAAGATGAGTCAGCCTGAGAATCAAGTCGAGGGAATAATATTAAAAAACAATTAAGGGCATCAGGGTTAGGTGTCTGTTGCTCATGAAAGAAAAAGTTGAGAAGGTGAAGGCTCTGCTACACCTTATCAGTTCTATGTCCGAGTTAGAAGAGGAAAAAAGATGATAAGCAAGCTGAAATGCAACAGGTTTAAGCTTTTTTTATTTTAGATTTAGGTATTTATGTGAAATTGAATAAACTTTGTTGATTTTGATCTTTAAAATGCAGCGGCTTTGGGACTTGGAGAGACGGCAAACAGGTTTGACTTCTCAACACACAGTGCTATGGCTCTTACAATATATTCTCAATCCATACCATCACAGATCAGCTGTAGAGACGCATTGCGGTTGCGCCGCCTCACAGCTTTGGTATGTCTGTGGTGTGGCTTGTTCGACAGCATTTCAGTTTTTTTTTTTCTCATTTGCCTGAGCAAAAATAAAATCATTGTGAACGTAGAGTAGTTCCTGCATAACCAATAAAATCAAATGTTTCAGCTGAAATGTCCCCTCCAAAAACTAATTTCTCCCTCTCTTTTCTTTCCCCTCCCAGTTCAGGTGACTGATTTCCACAGAGTGAAAGCCTGAACACCACTGCAGCAGTTGATGGTTGGGTGGACCCCCCCAGATGGGATCAGTGTCCAGGGGGAGGTGTTGGAGAAGGGGGATATGGGGAGCCCTTTCCCCCTCTGACGGGATGGCCTTGTGGGTCTGGCTGCTGGCGGCCGTCTTGCTGACCCTGCTGACGGTCAGCGTGGCCAGGCCGCCCCTCACAGCCACCAGGGAGGTGGAGACCAAGGCAGAACCTGAAGGTGAGAAGCATGGGAGAAGAAACAGGGGAGTCATTGGGGACAAACAAAAATGTAGTTATAGAGGAGCGTCTTACATGTCTCTAGATTAATTGCAATTATTTCTTTTAATGAATATTACCATTTTGACTTACAAAATGAGTCATTATTAATTTATTTCAAGGTTTCAATAAGATTAGGGGAAAGCACTGCTGGTCAGCTGGCTGAAAGAAGATATACCTACACAGGATTATTTCTGTTTTCTCTGACTTGCTCAGAAAAATTACATTCTTAACACAATTTGACTCAAAGCAGTGACCCTAAACCTAAACACCTCGGGGTAAAGGTTTGTTTGACAGAAAGAAAGGACGACATTGCCTTCTGGCTAAGAAGTATGAGGGTATGGGCTGAAAAGTAAAGGGTGAAAAGGTGTACAAATACAAATGTCTGTTGATGCAAAATGTGTTTGTAAGTTAGAGTCCTGCAAGTTGTAAAAAAGTTCACACACAGTTTAAGGGTGATTTTAATTAAACAAACAAAAGGGGAATGATTTACTTCAGAGTAATGAGGTGTTGTTTTCCACACTGGGGGGTGAATGATTCACACTTTTTTTTGTTTTCCCTTGCTGGTGTTTCTTTTGGTCCTTGGTGGGATTGAGTGTTAAAGCCAGGTTTGTGACCCGCTGTGTGTGTTGGAGAGAGCGAGGGTGGGACTGTGTTTATCCTGGCATCTCTTTATTAAACCTTCCTGCCTGAAAAGAGGAACAAGGGGTGAGGAGGAAAAAGAGAAAGTCACATTTGAACGGGGAAAGTTTCAAAGTTGTTTTTTCTTAATCCAAAAAGGTTCCTGAAACTCTTGTTTCAGAAATTTTTAGTGTCGTTTTTTATTTGTATTTTTAGTCATAGCTCAGTCTGATTAGAGACAAGTTAATTTGTTTAGGTGATAGACGATGAACCACATTCCTAAGCTCTTTGTTCGCAGGCTTTCATCATCATGCTAATTTTAAGTTAGGCCAAATAGAGAGTGTCGCGTTTTAAACCACAACATCTTCTCCCACACACACACACATTCACACAGACTGTACCTATTCCTGGCCTTTGCCCTGAAGGTCAGGGTATCCCTCTTGTCCACCTTGATAATAGGCTGCCTGAAATCCTGTCTCCTGTTGTTATTGTTGTTCTATCCCAGACTGGTTGGCTCCATGCTGGTGAGTTTTGAGCCCCCACATGGCTTGAAAGCTACGCTAACTTGGTCACAGAGAGGAAGGAGCGAGCTCTCCAGAGTTACACAATCCTCTAGGAAAGTTCTAAGAGGATTTGTGCATATTTGACTTCTCTATCTGTTGGAAAGCTTGCAAAGAGCTGGTCGCTGGAAAAGTCATGTGACAGGAGATTAGGAGAGTTAGACACATGATGAGGTGTACAACACTTTGAACCTTTTCTCACTTGTTTTGATTTAACCACAAATTTGAAGTTTGTTTCTTTGTGATTTTATGCGATTACTCTACAGAAAGCAGTGCATTACTTTGATGTAATTATGCTGCATGTTGCACCTAATGTTATCCCCTACTTTGCTGCTTATATATAGACTGCAGGTCCATTCTTCTTTGGAAAAAAGCTCAAGCGTAGTAATTGGTAGATCTATGCTGTAAAGAATATCTGAATATCTTCCCTTTAATACTGGTTCAATATTGCAGGATCTTCTAAGAGGTTTTCTTCAGTTATTGTCCCATATTCAGCTCCTTCTATTGCTTCACCATAAAAGTATCTCCAGATACTAAATTAGAAACTGAGTGACTTCTGAGGGAAATTTGTTGGACTGGGTTTAGAAAAAAAAACTTGGTGTTTGGATGAAACAAAAAATGTTTTTAAACATGAAAAAGTTTTTCCACTTTACCACCATGCGATATTGTGTGTTTTTTTGGTACATAAAATCCCCCCAAAAAGTAAGATGACTGTTTTTGATAATTTGACTAAATTAGAAAAGTTCAAGGATTGAGATTCCTTTCACAGAGCGCTGCACAATCTTATCTAAGTCAGTGTTTTCTGTTCAGCTTGGACAGTTTTACGTGATTTGAGTGTGATTGAATCAGTATGTTGATTTATTTGTAGTAAACAGATGTTGGAGACACAGAATATCAGGTCCTGGTTTCTCTGTCGCAGCAACAATTCCTTTAGAGATGTTTAGTATTTCCAGCAGCTCCACCCCTGGCCGCCCAGCGGCTCGGGTCACATCGTCGTCTGTGTGTGGAGGAGCACAGCTTGCTGGAGATGATTCAGATTGCATATCAGTGTTGTCTCCTTTGAGCCCACGCCTGCACCTCCGGTGGCCCTGCTAGTTTGTTTACCTGTAGTCGCTGTAACAGAAGAAGTGGAGCAAAGCGCGCTGGTTACAGCCTCCACAACAGGCCTATTGTTGATGCTGCAGCAGCTTCAGTATCTATGGAAGTGTTTACATCGTCCAGGAGCTCTATGTTTGCGCAGCGATAAAAATACACTGACAGAGCTGAATAACAATGGAGGCTAATCTGAAAGGTGTGTGTCTTTGACATTGAGTCCCTTTTTGTATTTCATGTGGAACGACCATAGCACCAGGCTGCCTGGAATGAGAGCAGCTGACTGAAGTCAGCTCATAGTTTGGCTTTGCGTTCCTGAAGCTGCTGCCAAACTCTGTTCCTAAAAAAAAAAACATTCTGATCAGCAGAGCGGCAGGTTTTTCCAAAATACTAAAGTAGTTTAATAAATATCGTCTGCACATGGGGGAAGAGTTTTAGCATTAGGCACTGAAAAAAGATGAGTTTCAAGGTTGATATCCGGCAGGAGGTTTTGATGTTTCTTGGCATATCTGCGCTACCTGATATTCTGCGGTACAAAAAAACAAAGCACATAAAAAAAGAAATACCGCTGTAAATGTGTTCCTATGTTAGACTGGACGGTGATATGGGCTTACCTATCTACAACACCCTGGTATTTACACAGTAGGAGTGCAGTTGTAAATGCATAAAAATGTCAGCTGGCCAGTTAATGACATGAGGTGTGTGTCTGGAGTGCGTAGCTTTGACAGTGGAACTGAACGGCATAAACACAGTATGTCAGCGACCAACAGGATTCGGGGCGGGGGCTTTTGGACTGAAAGCACAGCTTTCACACGAGGACTTTTATTAACTTGCCGTTGGATGGTGTTAATCATGCAAGTCCAAGTATGTTGTTTGCTTTGGCTTGACGCTGCACTGTCCTGCCTCACACTGGTCTGATAAGAAGCCTGAAAAAGGTGCTGCCTGTGTCAACTTGGGCCGTTCGGTCCGCACATGGGAATGGATATTAACATGGTCAGGTGTCAGACGGAGAAAGGAGATCGGTGCTAGATGAAATGAAAAAGTACACATAGATAAGAATTTTCTAACTGCACCTATCCAAACCTTGACATTAATGTGGATCCATTATCCTTTTAAACAGACTGTGTTACAATGCATACTGACGTCAAACGTATTATCTTCCTTTAAACGCCTCATTACCAGAAACATTTTCATTTGGCTCAAAGCAGTGCTTAACTTTAAATTGTATCAAGTACAATTATTTGCCTTTATGTATTATTAATGTAAAGCTCATCGATATTGAATGGAGCTCAGTTAGATTTAGGTCTGAACTAAACAAACGGTTTTATAGGAGCTTCTGTTGCAAGTTTAGGATTGTTTTCTAGCCTCTGCCCTCGTCTAGTTGTTTTTTTTCAGCCTGCATCATTTCTACAATAATTATTCTCTGATGAACTCCATTTATCTTCCCTTTACCACCATATCTTACCTAATGTTCAGTTTGATGTGCTTCTTAATTATTTTAATATGATTTCACAAAACAAACTTACTGTTTTCTCCATCAATATCACATCCATGTGTTTAGCATTTAAAGCAAAGTATTCCTCCGAGTGTCGTTGATGTTTCAACTGTGTATCTGTAAACACAGGTTTAATCAGGCTATTTTGTCAAGACTATTTATTTTGTTAATGCTTTAGCTTAATAGAGCATTTTTATTGAAAAAAAATAAAGTCTTTGTAGGGTTGATATTTATAAAATCAGCTAAGGAAAAATCCACCTAACAAGTCCATGCTGGTTTGTAGTGGAATGACAGATAGCAAGCCTGACATGGAATTGGCTGAGCTCTGCTGTAAACGGGTTGTTGCCAGGCAGAGTGGTGCGAATACGGATGAGGAGAGGGTCGCCTGAAAATATCACACCTGATGGAAACGTGTTGGAAAAGGGACACTAAAATGAGTTTTATAAATAAGATGCGTAGGCAGAACACAGATGAAGGTGGCGAGGCGGGGTAAAGCTGTTGGATGGAAATCGAGACAAAGTCTGTTTCTAGAAGAGCAGTAAAAAGTTTCCTGGTGCTTTTCAAATTTTTCATCTCATCTGAGTTTGTTCCATCGTTGTTCATGTCTGCTTTTTTAATGTCAGCGGTTCCCATGGACAATCGGGTATGTTAGAGACGTGTCAACAGGTTAGGGAAGGGTCAGAGTTAGGTCAACTGGGTCACTGGTGGGAGTGGGATGTGGGGGTGAGGATGTGTGGGAAGAGGGAGGGCAGAATAAGAGAAGGGTGGGTTGATGGAGGGAGACAGATGCACACAGCGGAGATAAGAAGAGGATGACAACAAAACCAACACCTGCATGCTTTCTTTAACGAGATACACCATTTGGAGAGGTTTCCTTCCACTTCTTTTAACAGGAGGGTTTGCAATTCCAGGTGTTTCTTTGTTATGTCAGGATCCTCTCGAATTTGTCCGTACCCGCATCCCAGCAGTAATTTATTTAGTAAAGCTAATAAAAAGGGAAAATCTTGCAGCAGCTGTGAAGCAAAAGCAGAGGCTTGTGGAAATGTCGTAAAAAGGTAGTGAAGACAGCTCCCCATCAATCAGCCTGACCCTCCTCCTATCAGACCACACATTCAGAAAAGGGAGGGGTTAATTATTTCCGCTTTAGTAGCAACAAAGACAATACTGAAACTGTACCTGCCTCTTTGCCTGTGGGGGTGGGTGGGGGGCTGTTTTGAAGTCTGCACACATGTCTCAACTGCTGACTTGTTACTTGATGACTTTCCCATCCTTTCAGGGCCGATGTGTGTTTGTGTTTATTGTTTTTATACGACTAACACAGAAAACATGTATTATAACTGTGGTGGAGGTGTTGTTGAAAAGCTACACTGAGGTATGGAAAAAACTAGGAGTTCCTTTGCTTCTATAATTACACCTATCAGACCCCAAAACTCTCCTCATTAGCCATCATCACTCCTCTTTTATACGTTTTTCCATTGCTGTTTTTTTTTTCTGTCCCCAATCATTTAAATCGGGCTTATTTTCTGAAATATTTACACAGAGCATCTGGAAACTGATGCATTTCATTTGAGAGGAAAATTTCTATTTCTTCCTGTTTTGTTCAGAGTGTCTTGCAAAAAGTATTTCCATCTGTTGAATGGGGACGAACGAACATGTTTGTACCCAAAAATAATACCACATGGCTTTGCCTCAGAAAACAACAACTATCAGTCCTCAATTACTGTTTTTACTGAATTTACTGCAGATATATTGCACATCCCTCTCCTTTAACTTTTTTGTATTTTTTTTTTAAGCTGCATCCACAAATTTTAACTTTTTTTTTTTTGGACAGAAACAAAATACTATGTGATTGTAAAGCTGCATGAAAATGTGCATGCTTTTCATAATTTTTACTTTGCTTATCACCTAAACTGAGAAGGTAACAAAGAATTGAACAGAGGAGTCACTCATAGAGCCATAACAGAGCTGCAGAGACCCACAGATGTGAGAGACACTTTTGACAATACATGTACGGTAGTTTTATTCTTAGGTGATGACTGTAGGCAGTTAGTTGCTCAGATTTTATTGACGGCTGCTAAATTCTGGTTAGATCTTATTTGCACATATTGTTTGCTACTGTTTTTAAAACTTTTCCTTCCCCGTCACAGTTAAACACTGCTTTGTAGGGATGCACGATATTGGGATTTTGGCCGATATCCGATATGCCGATATTTTAAAACTCATGTAGCCGATAACCGATATCGATACTGATGTTAAAGCTGGACAAAAATAAGTAGTCATTGAAAACAGCAGTTTTGTTATCCATTTCTGACACTTTGAAAAATAATATACTCAAATATATTTTCATTTGCTGATATCAAATAGATTTTTAAAAACGCGGTATCGATCTATTTTACTTTCAAAATCTCGTGAAATTTCATCGTTCTGGTACAAACTCTCGTGATATTTTGCAAATTCTTGTGAGATTTTGTTAGTAAAATACATCGGTACCGCGTCAATATATCAACATATAAAAATATGGCAAAATTTCGTGAATTTTTGGGGGATTTCGTAGCATAACGATGACATATAGCAATATTTCATTAGTAAAAGAGATTGATATGGTGTTTTTAAATGGCAATATATCAGCAAATGAAGATATTGTGATATTTTAATGTATCAATATTTTTTCCCTCGTCTTTAGAAGTTTTTAAGTCTGTAAAAAAGAAGTTTTTGAGGAAGAAGAAGAAGTAGTATTTTTTTTTTTTTTAGACTTTAGAAACTCAGAAGCTGATCAAATATTGGGTTAAATATCGGTGGGGTGGCCGATGTCCGATATTAATTTTTAAGGCCGATACAGGCCGATACCGATAGGGGGGCGATTATATTGTGCATCCCTACTGCTTTGTGTTGATTATTGCATTAAAACAGAAATAAAAAGCAGTTTTAACATAGCAAAGTTGGAAAAAGTTCACATTAACATGGGACTGTAAGTACAACATGTTTTAAACTGTAGTGAAAACATTTAGAAGGGTTGAATGTGTGTTTGTAAAATAAAATGAAATGTCTCAGATTCTGGGATTTCGATCCTCCTCCTTGGACTGGAAATGCTCCTTATTCCGAACTTGTTAGCTTGTTGTTCACTAGCTGGCAGAATTGGCTCTCCTCCTAGAAATGTCAATTTTATTGCTCTTGGGGATCCAGTGTATTTCTTGCTCTCTGGCTGAGCTTTACACATCCTGTGCTGGGATATAGATCTTCCATGGCCAAGAAACTATAAAGTAGAGTGAAGATGAGTCTGAGGGAGGAAACAGAGGGGTTGGCCAGGTCAGACGTTTTGTAGCCTGAATACGCATTGGAAATTAGAAAAAAAGCCAAAGAAGATTTCTCTCCCATCTTCCCATATCCCCTGCCTGGCAAGTGCTTCTGCCCTGGGCCCTTTTGCTGCTTTCCTCTCTGGCTTGCAGTTTGGCTTGAATTCTATTACCTGTGCTGCTTGTACTTGCTTAAATACACTGGTTTACCTGACATTTACACTGATGGGGCTTGGAAATTTGACCCGGATGTGTGAACATACTGATAACTAATGCTCACCTGCTCACTGCAGATAATAGTTGTTAAGATCTTCTCCACACTTGCTGCTCCAGTAAATATTGCATGCACTAAATCTGTACACCAATCAGAGATAAACTGATAACAGATCTGGGATTCCATGGGAAGTAATTCAAATGACCGACTGGGAGTTGGTGGTTATATTCTGGTTTTATGGTTAAAAAGCAGATCTTTTTCTTTCCTCAATTCTCCTCTTGCATAGATTGATTTAAATGGTGTGTGGTGTTTAATCTCCTAAACTCTGGCTTCTTTCTTCCTCTCCCATCTTGTTGTTCCTCCTTTTTTGCACCCTTTCTCTGCCTCAATCTTTTTCTATCCCTCCCAACTTCCTCCTCAAACTCTTTCCACATTTGCTCTGCAGAGGCATCGAACAAATACCAAATTTTTAAGCCCACGGTGTGCTCAGTGCAACCGGGCGAGTTGCTGAAGCTCAGTTGTCCTCTGCCGGTGACGGAGACCATCACTTGGACCAAAGATGGCAGCTCTCTGGGCCTCAACAACCGCACGCTGATTGAACATGAGGTGCTGCAGATCCGTGATGCCTCGCCCAGGGACTCGGGCCTGTATGCTTGCACTAGTGTGGGCAAAGACACGGTCTGCTTCATAGTCAATGTCACAGGTGAGTCAGGGAGACAGTTCAGGATAAGGCAGAGCAGGACAGACAGATTGGAGTTGGATGGGTGGGTAGAGTATGGTTTAATTCAGAAAGTGGCCATGGAAATCATTTTATTTGGACAAAGAGGATTTTGTCTTTCTGAACAGAGTCTGCTGGGGGTTCATGTGTCTGTTTGTGGTCAATAGTTATAATCTACAACCTGATTGACCAGACAAATGACCTAAAGTTGAATCTTGACTAATATTTAACTTAAACTATAGCAGAATGTGAAATCTGTAGATGTTGTGGTGCTTAATGGAATATAAGTAAAAGGTGATGCTAACCATGGTTACTTTATGCAGATGCAACCTGGTCGGGGGATGATGAGGACGATACAGACCGGTCGGAGGATACTTGGCCAGATGGCATGCAGTCAAGTGAGTATGGGATGAATAAATGGGGTTTCTGTAAGTTTGAGAGCTTCATCTTCCTTATCAATGGAATCTAAGTTACATATCCTCAAGCTTAATATACAGCATAGCCACTACAGTGATTTACAGCACATGTTCTTATTAGGAAGGGCATTATGACAGAAATTTTTTAAGTAGAGATTGTATCAATATTTCATGGAACAAGAGAAATGAGTGAACTATAATATGTAAAACCGAGGCATAATGATGGATTCAGCTTTCTTGGGGAACTTTGAGGGAAAAAATCTTGACTAAATGCCGGAGTTAGATAACCTCAGCTTACCCGAGGCCAGCTGAGGACAAACAGCCGTGCATAAGCAGGAGTCCGGATACACAAGGCTTACTGGGAGTTGAGGGGCCACAGCAGTTGGGCCAGTGAGACAGTTTGGCTTCATCTGTAAAAAAGGTCTGATGGTTCTGCCCCTTTGGAAAGGGAGCATGGGAAACATCACTCCTCACCTATAAAAGTTGAGACTTGATTTGCTGACTAGGCCTTTGGTTGTGCAGGGTTCCTTTCAAACTCTGTAAAATTGTATTTTCTTTTTTTTGTCTATGCACAGGTGATCAGTCCATCACAGGGCAACACAAAAACCCAAGTACAAATAGCCATTCCTGTGCTTCTAAGGGTCATTTTCTAAGGCCAACTAATCTAACAGTCCTGTTTATGGATTGTGTGAGGAAACAGAAGCACCAGAGCTTTTGGGAAAAAAAAAGCTACAAGCAGTTTAAAGCATTCGGGAGGAAAAAAGCAATTTCTGACAGCCATCCAAATATGCTGGACATGTCCGGTTGGTGCTGTTGTTGCAGGATTAGAAGCATCTGATAGTTCATAGACTGAAAACTTTGAAAAAAATAAATGCTCCTGGGGCTTCGGTACTAATATGAGTCACTATGTTATCTGTGGGTATTCCCTCTTTTGCTTGTATTCCTGCCAGGAGAAGAGGAAGTGATGTCGTGGAAGACCGTTTGGGTTGTTGTTTGTCTTTAAGTGTCTCTTCCAGCCTTCAGCCAGTCTGTTTAGACAGTCATAGTCCCAGGTGCAGGGGGAAAGAGGGGAAGCAAATCCATCGGACAGACACAAGTTTGCAGTAAATAAACAAAAAACACAAGATGGTAGATTTTTGATACATTGAATGGTGGGACTGCTTTTCATATTTGAAAACCTTACAAAGCTTTTGATCTTGTGGTGCATAATGACTTTTCAAGCATTATAAGTTATTTTGGTCATTCGCATCTAACAGAGTGATGTATAAGGGAGCTATGATAATTGGGGGAAGTAGGAGGAGAAAAAAAAACTGTTAAATAGAATGAGATAAAAATTAAATGTGATGGTCCGGTTACCATCTCGGTAACGCCCAACCCTTTAGAGCTGATCTTTTTTTAGTTTCAATTGCACCCTGCAGAGCCCACAGGGGAAAAAAATTGTGTTTATGTTTAGTCTTTGAATTGCAGATCTTTGAGCCACATGGTGCAAATGGATAGAGTTAAGATGCTTTTTCCAAGAAAAAAGGGGAGGGAAGTCTTTAAAGCAGTCTAGGTTTGATTCTTTTTCAGACATGCTTCACGGCGCATCTGGATTAAGATAGCCCAATTTCCTTTGAAGTGAAGCTGTTGATGCAGTGGACATTGCCAGGAAATGACTAAACATTGTTTTTTGTCCGCTTGCAGGGGCTCCATACTGGACTTTTAGGAAGAACGAGAAGAACGAACTAGTGGTTCCAGTTGCAAACACAGTGAAGTTCCGCTGCCCTGCCGGAGGAAACCCCCACCCAACGATACGTTGGCTTAAAAACGGCAGGCCTTTCCGGCAACATGAACGCTTGGGAGGATTCAAGGTAGGGGAAGCTCTACTCCATCCAATTTACTATGAATATAAGTTCAGCTGCCTTTTTTTCCGGCTGCGAATTTGACATTGCTTTTAAATATTTTGAAATTAGATTATTTACTATTGATATAAACCTCAGCATTCAGTGCATTTCCATTGTGAGAACCTTTCTCTTGAACCATAGTAGTGGAGTCAAACCCATAACCTGACTCTGCCAGATGGATTTGCTCCGCATATCCATCTGGAAACCTTCCATTGAAGTAATTTTGGGAAGGGGCGAAAATACTGGTTAGCTGATTGGCCTATGTTGGTGATAGACGGGCCAAATAAACCAATCAGATCAACGATGCATATGACGTACTAACAGAGCGACAACGAAAACACAACCACAAGCCAATTGATAGATCAAACTCTTGCTGAAACCAGTCGGGAGAAGAGCAAAAACATCTTTTCCTCTGAGAAAAGCCTCCAGAGCAGTGTTTTGCTCTTTTTTCAGTGAAATGCTGTGCAATTCCGATAAAACTTGCTCGATAGCCACGCTAACGCTAGTTTCATCGGCTGAAGCTGCCATGTTCTTGTTCAACCCGCCTCAAAGCCAACGCTGATTGGACGTTCGTTTGGTGAACGGCTCCAAATTTTCTTTAACGGAGAGTCTCTAGACTGATCTGCGAGTGAAACCTTGAAAGCTCGCAAGATCAGGATGGTCTCACGAGGCTAATAAACCCATCGCATTGTGATAAATACAGCTTGGTGCCAAATTTGCTTATGCTTATGCTAACAAATCGGTAACATTTCACGATCAAAGAGCATTGAATGCAATACCTATATGGACCCTCAAAAAGATTACTTATCAAGTTCTAAAAATACAATCAAAACTTAAGAAAAATAATGTAAACCTAACCTTTTGTGCATTTCTTTTTGTTATTGTTTCAAAGCTATTTTTAGAATAAAACATTTCAATTGACAATAAGACCACATAGTATGAAAAACTAATCACAAATAATGTTTCCCCCTAATGTTGTAAACAAATATCTGAAAACGTTATGCAAACATGTAATTTTAATGGTGTTGCAACAGTCACAGGCATAAGGAAAATCTGCTTTTCATTTTAACATGTGGTGGAACCCTCTAACTAAGCTTATACCGCAACATTATTATATTGGTGCTTATTCAAGATGTCCTGGGAAGATGAGAGATTTGCAAAATGCTGGGTGGAAAATATTTTGTAAATAAAGGATGTTCAGGGGAAAAAAAACTTTCTTCTTGTTGCTTTTTCAGTATTTTTTATGCTTTTGTTTTCTTTAGCTGTTCTTAACTTTTCCTACTTTCACTTCTGAGCTTCTGCCACAAACGTTTCGAAAACTTGAGGGTTTTTTTTTATCAGTTTTCCGATAAGTAATCTAAGACAAAGTTGTCCTTTTTTATTCCTTGCCCATCTAAACTGTTAATAAAAATGAAAGAAATTATTCAAACAAAGTGTACCTTCCACTCTTCACCATCTGACCTTTCACCTCTTTTCCACCCTTCACTGGAGAGATGGGAATAGACGAGACGAAGGAAACGCGGGCAGAGTTTCTGGTGTGAAATTGGAATTGCTCATCCGTGCCCCTTGTCTCACCAGGATACTTTGTAGAGCCTCTAACTGTTACTTGAAATGGTTCTTTAGCTCCATCAATTAGAAACATAAACCCTTGACTTAAAAGGGTAAATACCCTCAGACAGTAATGTATAGAGAAAGCAAGTAGCAGCAGGGGTTGGATTAAGTGCAGGAAGTTAGGGTAACTCAGGCAGAAAAAAATGTCCCAATGGCAAGTGAAAAACTAGCTGTTGATATATCTATATGTATATATATATATACTATATATATATATTTCTTTTTTTTTCATATAGGAATCCTTCTAATTAACTTTTTGTGAATAAGATGATTGCAGCAGCATAATCTCACACTAAATATGTTTTGAAACAATCTTTAATGTGAGTACATTTATCCATTAGGGGAATATGGCCTCTTTTAGAAGGGTGCAACATCATTCATAAATCTGATGGATACCAGAACAGCTTTCCACCTGTCAGGTTTATTTATGAGTTAAATGTTTATGCTGAGAGTTATGCAACTTATTTATGAAATGATCAGTGATGCTGAACAAGTCAGAGGCACGTGGTTAACACCTGATGGTCTATGAGGGAAAGTTGGGCCCAGATTATGTTCGGGTAGCCGCTGAAGTCTTATTCCTTTAGCTTTCAGCACCACCAGTACAGCTAAGACAAAAGCAGCCACAGAAATGATAAAGTCAAGCTGTCAGCTGCACCACAGGCACTTCATTTCTCTTTTTGTTGTCAACAAATATTTGACAAAAGCTGCACCTGAGCCCAGCCCAACGGCTTCACCTCTCCACTGTGTGAAGTGGTAAAGAAACCCCCTTTTTTTTTTTTCTCTTACCTGTACTTTCCATGCACCAGTGCCATTTTAAATAGAGCAACTACAGCTGTGGTTCTACACAGAATGGCAAAAAAAACCAAACAAACAGGGATTAAATCAGGGGTTCTCAAACATTTCTATAACATACCCTGACATTAGTTTACACTAAAGTTTACAGTTTTTTCTGTTTTCAGCAGAAAGTTTAAAACAGTTCCACTCAGGATGTATTTCAGTTTAGATTGCTGCTTCATTAATAAAAAATATTCCTATCTTTAGTAATGAGTAATTAATGAAAAAAAAAATGCTTTTTAATAAGATTTTCCATTCTTACTCATGAGTGAATATGTTCCAAGCCGGAAAAGTTAACTGAAAAAAAAAATGTCTGTGGTTAGAAATCTTTGTGAAAACAGAAAAGTAATGTCAACATGGCTCTGCATTTTTTTTTTAACAATCAACAACTTCTGTGTCATCTTTCACCACATTTTGTAGGAAGGTTTTCCTTCTATTCTTTTCTTTGGGTGCCAGTTTTTTCATGTCTGCTAATCCCAACTCAATGGTTCTGTATCTCATCAACAGGTCCGGCCCCTACATTGGACCCTGATCATGGAGAGCGTGGTGCCGTCCGACAAGGGAAATTACACCTGTTTGGTCGAGAACCGCTTGGGATCCATCAACCATACCTACACTCTGGATGTACTGGGTCAGTACTTGCAGTCTAAATACACCTGTAAGAGGTAGAGAACTGGTGGGAAAAACTTTTTACTGTGAGGATAGTGTGTTTGCATATGCTGTTTAATTGTTGCTCAGGTGTTGTGTGGATGCAGGTGGTTAAAACTATGAAACTTATTCTAGAATGAAATACGTTGGCTTTACTAGTGTTATGTTTTCTAACCCACAAATCCAAAATGTGCATTTATAAATAATATAGTTTCTAATAGTGTGCAGTCAACATCTATGCTATATAATAGTGTGTTTTAAAGATATTAAAGGATCCTAGTGCAAGTTTTAGGGTTTTTTAAGGTAGATAAACCAAAACAGAGAAATTGGTAATAATTAAGGTGTCATCCAGTCATCCATCCATTCATTTTCAGTCATGCTTATCCTTGCTGGGGTTGCGAGTGGTGCTGGTGCCTATATTCAGCTGTCTACGGGAGGCGGGGTCCACCCTGGACAGTTTATCTCAGGGCAACACAGAGACATACAAGACAAACAATCATTCACACACACACTAAAACCTAGGAGAATTAAGAGAAGCTAATTAACCTAGCAGTCATGTTTTTGGACTGTGGGAGGAAGAGTACCCAGAGAGAACCCAGGCATTCACAGGTAGAACTTTCAAAATCCATGCAGAAAGACCCCAGACTGGGAATCGGATCCTGAACCTTCTTGCTGTAAGGCGGGCAGTGCTACCCACTGCTCCACTGTGCAGCCCTGTTCATTATAATTTATTAATATATAAATACAAAAAAACTAAATTATTTTTGGGGAGGATAAAGGAGTAGTATAGATACTAAACTGGTGTATTATTTATTTGACAAAAGGCTGACTTGGCCTGAATTGGCCTTTTTATTACTGTAAACATCAGTAAGTAGCAAAAACTGTACTTATTTGATGACTGATCTTTGTTTGACCTAAATGACAATTTTAAAGTAATGTGGATATGACCGAGACAATCGTTCGGCATCAGTTTTTCAATAAAACGCTGACCTCAGCATTACTTATGGCGGGTTCAGCCCCAACTCAGTCAACCCCTCTTTCTCGACCTTTGGATCGGAGAAAGAAAGGAATGTTTTTCCCTCCGTTTGCAGAATCAATCGATGGCTGGTACAACAGGGGGAGTGGGATAACAGTTGTAGATCGATGTGTGTTTGCACACCCCATGCTTGCTTCCTTTATTTGGCATAGACCCAATCTCCTTTGGACTTGCCGCTCGGCACTTTTTGAGCCATCAGTACACATCAAAGTATCTCTGATGCAGTTATTCTTTTAAAGCCTGGTCAGTGAACCACAGATAACCTAAACAGACATGCAGTCTTACTCATCAAAGTGTCTGCAGCTTGTACAATTTTCTCCAAGACATTTTCTCTGTAGTGCCTTGATGGGAATTGGAAGTGTTTTTTTTACTGTATCTGAATGTTTATGCACTTGTGCGGAAACAAATTACAGTGTTCGCATATGCTCCCTAACTGAGGCCCCCCGTTCTTCCTCTCCCAGGAGTTGGCTAAAGCTCCCCTTCCAATTGCATATTTCTTCTTGTTATGTTTTACTGCAGAACAGTATACCTCATCCATAACTGTTGCTGCTGCCCTCTATAACTGGTAGAAAAAAGAATAGTCCAAACTGAGACAATAAACCTTTTTGGCTTCCAAAGTGACCTGCATGATGATCTATTAGAACCAGTAAGTCAGGGTTTACTGGTTTAAATAAGGCATTTAAGGGAGCTATAGGCTGACATACATGGCATTTTACAGACTTTCAGCACTGTTTTGGTAGCCACATGCCAACCTGTGCCATATTAAGCTTTTCAAGAGCCTCTACCCACCCCTGACCCTTTTGGTCCCCATGGGCCGGGCTACCAGGTTACGCAGAGTTCAGTGTCCTTACTAGGGAATGCTGCCATCAGATTACACCATCAATCATTGGACTGTAAGTGGGTTCTGTTTTTGTGCCGCACTGGATACTGGACATATATCTCATTTTGCAGGATCTACTTTTTAGTTCTCTTTGATGCTTGGAAATGAATCTAGATTTTTCTCTACCTATGTTTTTACACTGTGTTGCTGTTCTATTATTTTGCATGTGTTTTTCCTACTAAAGTGATTTTTTTTGGTTTTCGTTAAAGAAGACCCACAAAAACAGCATTGTGCTTGTTTTACCCAACAGTGGTCCCTGCTGACTGATTTTGTGTACTTTTAAAATCTTAGCTGCAATTGCAGCTAAGTTTTATCTCCACACGTGGAGATAAAACCTGCTGGAGTCCAGAAATTCATCCTCTAGTAGTACAATTACCAAGACTTGTTTAATCTATGTAAATGATTTGATTTCAGCTAAATTTATGAGATTCAGAACTAAAACATGCCAGATATACCAATTATCACACCTGAGCTGTGGATCTTTGCTGCTTCTTCAGTTACCATGCAACGCTTTTTCTCGAAGGCGAATAGTTGTTCAGAATCACCACTTCTTTTTTAGAGAAAACCAAAGCACTGTATAACTTTTCTTTCACTTTACATCTAATTTATCCACTGTTTTGTCACAATCTATCATTTACAATTCCTATAAAATACACTGAAGATTATTATTTATATTCATGACTAATTAGAGTTATGCACTTTTTCCTCTGTGGATTGGTTCATCTAAAATGTCAGGTTTTGCAGAAAGTTTTTGAAGACTCGGCTTCAAAAATCAGGGCAAATGAAGACAGACAATTAAGAAGGCAAACCCTAGGAACCCTAAAAATGTGCTACAAGGACGGGGAATTATGTACTGGGGAAGGAGGGATGGCAGTCCTTTGATCTTACAGATTACCGAAAAGAAGGAGAAAGGGAGTATCTATAATACTTTCTTTCTTTCACACCTTTCAGTAATTGCTGATAAGTAACACAGAACATCATAAATAAACTATATATATAAATAAAGTCAAAGCCCTTTCATTTGTTTCTGCCTTTTTTGAAAAGGCACTGCTGTGCTTATGAGTCATGTCACAGTTAAGTATATCCTGATCTGATATTGTGATCAGAAACCTTGTCTGATATCAGACAAAAAATAAATATTAGTATATATATATATATAAGCCTGCACAGAAAATTGTCAGATATAAGCAAGCAGCTTAAAGCAATCTATTTGGATTCATTTCAGTTTAAAGTTCCCATAACTAATTGGTTATTCATCAATGGGCCAATTGTTCTCTTTCTGCTGCAGACTATTGTTCTTCGTCATCTTAGTTGATCAAACCTTTTCTAGTGTTCCAAGTATGTATGACTCGTGCTTTTATTTTTATAGTCAATATTGTCAATATTGTTGTAGTATTGGAAATGTAAACGTTTTATTGGGACAGGACACTCTCAGTTACAGTATGGGAGCTCTTTAGGCTCCTCGATGGAGGTGTTTTAAAGGGGGCAATATTCTCTTAATTTAATTATGTTTAGGTAAATAAGCTAAATGTTTGCATTTAGCAGAATGCAGACACTTCTGCATTTGGAACATTCTGTTACACCATTTACTGACCATAATTAGTCCAATTCCTCAAGTAAAACATAAGCATTCGAGAAATATGCTCTTTTTCCAACAGAACGGTCACCTCACCAACCTATCCTCCAAGCTGGACAACCAGCCAACACCACAGTACGAGTCGGAGAGGACGCCCAATTCCAATGCAAGGTCTACAGCGATTCCAAGCCTCAAATCCAGTGGCTGAAACACATCACCCGGAACGGTAGTCGGTATGGGCCTGATGGAAACCCCTACGTCAAAGTGTTAAAGGTAGATTCTACTCTTGTCTTTTGATTTTTATTATGTTAAGGAAAAAAATAATAAAATAAGAAAGTTATTATATACCTGTCCCCAAACTGTATGTACCGTTTTACTTTAGGTTCAAATAATATTGTTTTCAGTTCAGAATTCCTTTTTATGTGTGGCTTGCTTTTCTCTGTGATGTGAGAAACTGATCCATAATAGGTTTGGTAAATATACGCTTTCTTCTTCAAGTCTACTTACAGTAATATTGAAATAAAACAGCATATTCTAACTTTATAGGTAACAGTCCAATATTGGGTACTTTTCTACCCAGATGATTGTGATAATTCCTGCAGATTGATCTAAAGTAACTGCTGTTGTGATGTTTTCATATGTTCCTGTGCCTGTTTTATCTGCTCTATTGTTTGATGGGTTGCAGCACTCAGGCATTAACTGCACAGACATGGAGTATCTCACCATTACCAATGTCACAGATGAAGATGTTGGGGCATATATCTGTAAAGTCTCATATTTTTTTCTGTTTTCTGTTTCCACTTTCTCCTACCCCCCTTCTATCCCCCCAGACACCAGGCGGTAACACCACATATAAGGACATGGAGGTTCTCTACCTGTCCAATGTTACCTTTGAGGATGCTGGGGAGTATACATGCTTGGCGGGTAATTCTATTGGGATCTCCTATCAAACTGCTACTCTGACGGTGCTTCCAGGTACATAAATTCTCTTGCTTTGTGTTTCCATAAATGTTATGTTTTATTTTTCTTCTAAAGCTGTTTAAAGGGCACATATGTTAAACTATTATTTTTTCAAATGTCCAGCTGTATTCTGGCTTGAAGATGTTTCTTCATGACCATGTTGCTAACTCACAACTTATTCTACTTCCAGACTTAGGTAGAGCTCCTCTATTCCAACAGAAATTAAGATTTTAACCAGTTTTTACTCCTCTTAGATAATATGTCACTGCTCCTCTTAGTGCCTGATTCTGCATGCTTTTAAAGCTGGGTAGATTATTCAGAAATGCCTTAAATTGTGCTTTGTTACTTTTTTTTCTGGCTCTGACAATTGGTTTATTTAAAATATAGTTTAATGTTAAAGCTAACTGCTTATTTCATTTTGGATGAATACCGGTACTAAAATCTGTGCTTTTTTGTCTGTTCTTGTTTACTTGGCTTAAGTTTGCGCTGATAAAGATGCATAAGCCGCTTTATTTCAGAACGTAATCCCAGACCTATTAATTCAGCCATTCTATTTCAATAAAAAATAATAATTCATTATATTTATAAACTTAGGAAAAAATAATATTTCTTCTCAACACAGTCATAAATGCTGCTGTTACCAGCAATGCTAAGCTCTGTAGAATAAAAGAAATTAGATTTTTGTATTTTTCTCTTTTTATTTCTCAAATTAGTGAGATGATCTAGAAAAAGACATAAATTCCATGAATGCTGGTAAGGAAACAAGCTCCAGACTGCTTAGATGCAGGCCAAAGTGCCATAGATTGATTATGTTACATTAAATGCTAAAACTTGGCATCATTGCGTAACACATTGAAAACAAAAGCACCTTTTGCTAAAACCTTGGGCTAAAGTTTGACCTCATTCAGTAAAGCTTTGTTTTTCCAGCAAGGATAAAAGTTGTCATAGAAGAGAAGCTAAAAACTTAACAAACTGGCACCTTATGGAGGGATTTAAAAGCTCTCTGTGACAAACCCTCTACCAGTAATTTAACATTGAAAATGAATGCTTGTAATATAAACTGTTATTATGGCAATTTTAAAAGGGACTGATCTAATGTCTCCTTGGGCTTTGTCCAGCACTGTTACTCTGATATATACAGCCCTTTTAATAGACAGAAGGTTCAGATCATACACACCCCAAATAATCTCAGACCTCTATTGTTTTACGACCTGAAGTGAAGTACATATTTTTCAAAAGGGTGTGTTTTGTGCTTGTGTTTGCATGTCTTCAACACTGTCATGGAGCTGTAACATATGTTGGCCTCATTGTTTGGTTTGAGTCATGATTTAAGATCTGGTGTCACTGTTAAATCCACTGAAGAGGATTTCTGTTTAGTTGGTCTGTGTATGAGGATTAAATCTATTCATGAGTCATCTTTAGAATGTCTGTTTACTTGTCTTTTTAGAGAACAACTGTTATAACCTCATTTTTACTGTCAGGCCTTAGTTTCTTTCTCAATATTTTCTAACCTTTTATAAATCTATAAACCAGCCACACAACTGATGAAAAGCACAAGTTTCCTTAATCTCTATTTATCAATAACTGGCTGGGAACTTGTGGTTTGATACAGATCTGCGTCCTGCATGAGAATAATCAGTTAGAGGTTTTCTAATGAGTAATTTCTTATAACTTTATCCGTCTCTCCTCTTTGTTCTCCTTTTTTTCCCCCTACTTTGAACCTCCGCTACTCTCCCCCTATTTGCTCCATAGATCCTTCAACCAAATGCCAAATTCCTAAGCGCACAGTTTCCTCGGTGCACCCAGGCGAGGTGCTGAAGCTGACTTGTCCAACGGCAGGAACCATCACTTGGACCAAAGATGGCCACCCGCTGGAAACCAACAACCGAACTCTGATTGAACATGAGGTGCTGCAGGTCCGTGATGCCCTGCCCAAAGACTCTGGCCTGTATGCCTGCACCAGCGACAGCAAGGAGGTTTTCTGCTACAACGTCAATATCACAGGTGAGAAAATGGCTGTAAGAATACTTTTATTCCTCCTTGGGTGATGAGGCTGACATTTTTTACCTCTTAACCTAATCTGAAGAAGGTGTTCCGATCAGAAAAAAAAAGCTATTCTGGTGTGTTAAATAAGATGTGGCCCTTGTTAAAGCTGTGCCCAAAAATGTCCCTAATTTTAGCATCTTAGAAGTTAGAAAATGTTGTGTGCAGACTGTTTTTACAGTAGGCGGGTAGAGGAGAGAAACATCAGGTATTGCGGTCTCGCTGCTCTGAAAGTTGCCAACAGAATAGAGGAAGAGGAGCTGCCAAAGCTTCCAGCCTTTTAAAAGAAGGAACAGAGAGCAAAGGATGGACTAGTCACCACCTACAGGAAGTTGCCGTTTGATAAATGTTTGTCTAAATTGATTTACCTTGCTTGGACTTAGATGAATGTTGCTGTGATAAAGGTCTTGTTTGCAGAAGGAAAAGTTGTTACTGTTGTCAACATTTACAAAAACAACAAAACAAAAACAATAGGGTGGGGTATGTTTTGTTTATTTAGAAATAAAAGACCAAAATAAAAAAAACTTTAATTGACAAACAGAACAACAATATGCAAGACAAAAGCATAGGGAGTAGCTGAGGAATGAGTGAAAGACAGGGAGAAATCCTCAGTTTAAATAACGTATTGCATGATTAGTTCAGGGACCTGCTCGTGTTAACAAGGTTTTTTTCCTGCAAGGATGTTATAGATTTGATTGGTGAGATTTAGTTTATATTTTAAAGCTAGTTTAAGCTAGTTTTTTTGCTGATTTATAGTGATTTGTGAACATAGACGTCCAGATTTTGACGTGATTGTTTACTCAAATTGGACATATGAAGGTTTCTGAAGTAAAATAAAGATACTAGTGACAAAAAAAAAAACTGTGAAAGAGGCAAGAACTGCATACACTAAGAAAAAATACAGAGAGGGGAAATTACCTGGTTAAATGTGCATTGCTTTAACTGTAGGAACCTGTAGCTATAAATGCAAATTCAGCTAATGAAACTATTCAAAATAATATTGAAAGTTTATGTTTTGGGGGAAGATTATATAGGAACAACATCCGTCAAATCTAAAAAGGACTAATTTCTTAAAGGATTCTAAAATAAAGAAACAAAAAAATATATTCTTTAAATTTTCTTTATGCTATATGCGCCGATGTTTTCCGAAGGGAACTGAAACATATTATCTCTCTGTTATAGATTAATGGAAGTCTGGTAGAAAAAAAGAAGTGGGGAGAGAGGAGATAATTGAAAAGCTGATAGCAGAGTAAAGTAGAGACAAGGAAACGAGCTGAAGAGTATTGGAAACAAAAAGAGGGGAAAGCTTTCAGCATAATTAAAATAAACAACTGTGCTTTTTTAATCTCAGTATTTGACTTAGATTTAGGAAAATTATCTATTTAGCTTTTTAAAATACATGAAATGACAGCCATGGAGCCTCAGCTTGAAGTAAATGTAAAATAGAACAAAGTCATTAAGCAGAGAAAAAAGAACAGCTACATGACCAACAGTATACATCGTTTTTCTCAATTAAAATTATTTAACCATTAACAGTGTTAATCTTTCTCCTTCTCTTCAACTGCTAATGAAATATAAAAATAAAGTAAAATGATTATTTTCTGGTCTGAATATATTGAGATTCATCTGCTTCATATCAATGGCATTCTCTGTTTGCTTTACCAAATGCGCATCTTTGTCGCTTTGTATTTATTGCACGGTGACTCAAGAAAGACAGATTATTCCTCAAAAAATTGCATTGCGTCAGTCAAACAAGCATGATGTCATCATACAATATCAATAAGAAACGGCAGACAGCGAAAGGAGTTGTTGGGGTTTGGGTGGGGGCAGCTGTTAGCAACAACAAAAGCTGCCTTCATGCATTTCCCTGCATGTTTCTGTCTGAGCTTATGCAGTTAGATGGAGGGGAGTACATGTGCGTATCTCTTTCAGGCTAGATGCTCGAGGGAATACAGGAATTTGTGAGATTCCTACAGCTAGTGTCTCCCAGGTAGTGAGGCCTCAAGGAGCCAACCAGCAAACCAGCCAAGTCAGTCAGCTGTGCTCATCCATTATGAAAGCTGGCCATCTGGACCCAGTTACCCACCTGGACCCAATGTGTGTCTGTATGTGTGTGTGTGTGTGCGAAAGAGAAAGTTTTACCCAAATTTGTATAGCAGCAGTGTACACATGTCTGCTTTTGCTTACACATTCACGGATAGAGGCTGAACTAACCATGAGGGCTTCCACATCTTGTTAAAATTCCTCACACACATCGTGTCTCGCCATGATTTCTCCTTCTCCACTTTTGGGTTGACTGTAATTGCCTGAAATCCATTAAATAAGGAGGGGAAGGGAGAAAATGGAGGGAGAGGGAAAAGATCCAGCCACTCTTGTTATAGTAAGCTGTTTGGAAACAAAGAACAAGCTGTTCTGGCAGCACAGTTGCGATTTCTCGCCCCGTGTGTTTTAGAAAATTCAAAACCAAGAATATTATTTAAAGACTGGGGGACCAATGGGGAGATTGGTGTTGGATCAGCCCCAACATTTCTCTGAGCACAGCGTTGAGATTTGGCTCAACAGCCAGGACTGTAGAAAAAGGGAGGGAGAGAAGAGAAAGTGGTTGTATCTTTATATTTATGGCTTTATTTGTGGAAGCCTCATCCTTACCTGGTGCCAGGCCACTGCAAAAGATATGGAAGAGCTCCCACAGCACTGGGCAAATCAGATAATTTATTAGGCAACTAATAAAGGCAACTGGTTTGATGGATTTAATAAAGGGGCATCAGCATTTTAGGGGGTGCCAACAAATAATAATTTTAGTTTTACTTGAAAAGGATGCTCAGATTGCTCAATATATGTATTCATTTTTGTTCCGATAAAATCCAAGTAAAATACAACAAAGCTTGTTGTTGCAAACTGACAAAATATGTATAAATGTATGTTTGCAAAGCTCTTCTATTTTTATGCGCTGTTGTTGTTGGCCAATGGAGAGAAACTCTCAACTTAGGTGAGGGAAGGTGATAAGAGGTGACATCAGAAGAAACCGGGGATTTACCACTTTAATGAATCAGTTTTTTTTATGGGTATTCCCTCTGTTGCTTGTACTGCTGCCAAAAGAAAAGAAAGTGATGGTGTGTAAAAGTGTTTGGGTTGTTTTGGAGTGTCTCGTGGCAGTCTTCAGTCCCATCTGCTTTAACAATTATATTTCCAGGTATGAGGGAAAGGGAGGAAGCAAGTCCAGCTGACAGACACAGAAAAGAACAAATAAGCACAAAACACAAGATTGCAAATTTTAGCACATTCGTTTTGGTATTTTATCATTGAAAATTATATGAAACTCAGAAACGTCTTTACTAAAGGAGATTTCAATCTTCTATGATGGTGATTTTTTAGGTGTGATAATTCCCTCTGGTAATTTCCTTCATGCCTCGCAGTGTGATTTTGAGAGTTGCTCGGGCAGCTGGAGGAAGTAGGAGGAGGAAAAAAAACTTTTCTGGGGCACGACATTAAAATGGGTTATGATGGCCTGCTTATCCCTTGTGGCAATGCCCAGCCATTCAGAACCAATCTATTTTTGGTTTCTGTTGCACCCTGCAGAGCCCACTGGAAAAATGTGTGTTTTGGTTTAGTCCTAGAAGTGCACAGCATTAGCTCTCATTTAAAGATGGATAGTTTTATCAGTGTTGCCAAAAAAAGGGAGATATTTAAGAACAACTCGGATCGGATTCTTTCTTGGTGCATCTGGACTAAACTAGCTATTTAGCTTTTATGCCAAGTAGTTGATGAAGTGGGCGCTGTCAGTAAACAACTGAACTCTATTGTTATCTTGTTACAGGTGCTCCGTATTGGACCTCTTCAGCAAAGATGGAGAAGAAACTGCATGCAGTGCCAGCTGCAAACACAGTAAAGTTCCGCTGTGCTGCAGGAGGTTACCCCCAGCCATCGCTGCATTGGCTCAAAAATGGCAAACCATTCCGCCAAGATGAACGCATGGGAGGATATAAGGTAAGGGAAACACTAATCCGACTCGGTTATATAAAAACCTAGATAAAACAGTGGTACTTTTGCTTCCTCCTCTTTTATGGACGTAATAGAAGTAATTAATGAATAGGATGCCTAATTAATGCCTATAATACTGTCAACGTGATGGTTAACAGTATGACCCTTACTTATCTTTTGCTTCCCCTTTGGCTGGGTTTACTAACTGTTCTGCAAAATCTCAGGAGGAAGAAGGAAACAGAAAGATCTTTAACAATTCCTCTTCACACAACCTTATTAGTTTTTCCAGTGACCTGAGCCCTCTATTTTGTTTTTACCTTGTTTTAAGTTCACCACACAGTTTTTTTTTATTTATTTTGGGTATGATTTGTACCATTATGCTGCTAAAAGACCAAAGTCCTTATATTTATAAAAGGTTCTCCATGCCATGCACTTAACAATATTTTAGGTCCTCTCTGGAGAAAAACATGTCCTTCAGCATGTTATTACACACATTTTGAAATATTTTGATTTTGGTACAATCCTGGCAGAGTTTAATAAACTTGTAATATTTTAGCATGTGTTGGTAAAGCTAAACTTTATTTCTGGCTGGTAGTTTTGTGCAATTTATCAGCAGTGATCTTATTTACTTTCAAAGACTGAGAAAATGTTGATGTTCAGTTAATTTTAAGGAGAAGGTCAGCAATACCTCGAGTAATTTGGTTTATACATTATTTCTAAATGAGGAATTTTATTACCTTGCACATGTTTGTACTTAAAAAGATGTTATCTATGTTTTTAATTAAAAACATCTTTAAAATAACTATTTTTAGTTGAGCCTTAACGACTAAAACATCGCTTGATTAGCAGACTGACACCTCAATAGTTGAGCCGAGATGCATCTATAAGCCTGTAGCTTATTTTCCTAAATTACTTCGGGTTGCAAGTTCCCACGCAGTTCTGTACATTAATGTTAAATGCATCCAACCCAGAAAACAAAAGAAGTGTTATTCAAGATGGATTTTGTGAATACTAAGAACCAGACATGGGCAATGTGGAGTCAACAAGTCATCTCCATGTCATGTATTTGTTCTACCCAGTCACTGAAGCAGGTGAGTCCAATCTTCACTGTGAATTAACCTGTGCAGATTGGACTCACCTGGTTAATTGGCTGGGTAGATTAAATACATGACATGGAGATGACTTGTTGACTCCACATTGCCCATGTCTGCTAAGAACTGAGCACCACCCCGCTCAGCTGAGACACCAATTAACAGAAAGTGCTGTGTTGTCAGAAATCTTTGTGAAAAAGGTAATAGATAAATCTCCAATCCATCATTAAAATCCATTATGACGTCTGACATGTAAAAAATAAAAAAATAACTACAGTTTTTAGTTGACATGTTGCTGTATTCTATGGAAGAAAAAAAATGCAATTAAACAATTCTCAAGTAAAAAAGAAAATAGGGTCCTCATTGGCTTTGCATTTTTTCCAACACACAACTTCTCTCAGATCTATCAACATATTGCTTTTTTTCTTAGTTTTTTCATTCTTTCCTTTAAGCACCAGCTCTTTCATGTCTGCTAATCCAAACTCAACCTTTCGGTATCTCATCAACAGGTGCGCCTGCAGCACTGGACCCTGATCATGGAGAGCGTGGTGCCGTCTGACAAGGGAAACTACACCTGTTTGGTAGAGAACCCGTTTGGATCCATCAACCATACCTACACTCTGGATGTAGTGGGTCAGTACTTGCAATCTAAATACACCTGTTAAGTTTAGAGAGGTAGAGAATTAATCCAGTAAGTGAGGATAGTGTGTGTGCATATGCTGTTTAATTGCACAGGTGTACTGTGGATGCAGGTGGAGGTCAGGAACTGCTGCCAAGAGTTTAGAGAAGATGTGTCATCAGGTTCAATGTGGCTTTGATTACTTTATACTGAAATATTATTTTAAACCAGGGAATCTGGACCAGGGGGCCATTTGCATACCTGAATTATTTTCTTAAAGCCCTAACCAGAATTTTAAAATAGTACAAGAATGCCCATGTCCTTTAAAGGGCAAAACTGCTTTCTAATCTCTCTATTTTCTCAGCCAAGCGGTGTTGCTTTATCAATCTGCCTGATCGGTTTCCAGTGTATCTACTAAACTGAACTGCTTCTGTAAAAGTGACTCAGGTCTCACGGTGTTCAGCCACATCTACCTTTCTTTTCTGACCTTCATTCACATAAGAAAAGACTCACTCAAATTGAAGAGTAGTAGACCACTGCATGTTTTGCAACGGTCTGCTACTTTGCACTTTTCTCTCTTAATTTGAAGCAGATGTGATGACTTTCAGACTTGCCTCTTACCACTGTGTGAGCAATCATAGACATCAAGGTTTATCTGATGCAGTCATTCTTTTAATGTCTGGTTAGTAAACCACAGATAACCACATTGGAGCAGCAGAGGTCCAGCTTATCATCCAATCCACGTCTGCAGCCTGTATCCATAATTGGATTTATTCCATCGCCATCCCTAATGGCATTACGCACTTCCAATTGTTTTTATGAGTGCATAGATCAGGATTAGTGGTATTGTTTTCATCATATTAGACTAGCATTTGATATCGGATGGTATTTGAATGTGAATGTACTTTAGGCACATCACAGAAACACATTACAGCCAGCCAATGTTCACACATGCTCCCCCACCGAGGCCCCCTGCTTTTCCTCTCTCTGGAGTGGAATAAAGCTCTACTTTCAACTTCATATTTCTTTTTGCTCTGTTTTACTGCAGAACACTAAACCTCTTCTATGACTGACTCCATAGCCCCCGTTCCCTCTGCAGCCTCTTGAATAATTTTTTTTCTTACTGTTAAACTTGGGGAAGAAATGGAGGCAAAAGGGAAACAGAAAAGCCTTTTCTTATCAGACTTTTTGTTACCCAAATGACCTGTAGGATCAGCTTTTAGAAAAGAAAACACCCAGAACTCACTGGTTTAAACTGGAGTCTGGACAAAGACCTGCAGTCGGGCAGTGACAGCCTGACACACATGGCATGTCTCCGCTATTCAGCACTGTGTGGGTAGCCGCATGCCATCCTGTGCCACACTGAGCTTTTCCTGGGTTCCTTCTGAGATGGGCCGTCAGTTTACTCGGAGTTCAAAGTCCTTAACTGGACATCATCCGGTTCCTCCACTCACTATTAAACTGGCTTTAGGAACTGGAGACTAGTTATTGGTCTTAATCTGCTTATTATTTCTAATTTAAGAATGAAAACTATCCTCCTCCTGCTACATTACAACTATGTGCAACTTTGTACCTCTATCAAATTAAATTACTATAAACAGAGAAGTTTTTTTCCTTTTGATTTGGTTTAGTGAACAGTTTTGCACACCCTCCATCCTCTCAAAGTAGTGAAAGTTCTAGAGGGGGCAGAAGGCTGAAGAAATTGGGGCAAATAAAGAAAGACAATAAACAAGTCTAACCTTAGGAATGTCCGGAGGGGGTGGGGGGTGGGGGGGGTTGGAGGGGGGGTCTGTCAGAATGGAAAGAGTGGTGGAGGGTGTTTAGATAGAGGAAGGTGGGGTTCATCAGATCTGACAGATCTTAGAAAAGAAAGTAGCCACTCAAATTTTTTTTTATGTTATTTTTCCCCTATTTAGCCCGCCCACCCCAACATTGGCTCTCCACTAATCCCAAACCTCATAAACACACTTGTATAAATAAATCCAATGCAGTACCTTATGGTTTTGTTTTGTAAAGGCACTGCTGTGCATATGAGTCATCTCGCAGTATGGGAGCTCTGAGGGCTCCTCAGGGTAGCTGTAAAAACAGGGTGGTGTTTTAAAGAGGGCATTGTTCCCCAGATCTTATTCTGTTTAGCTACGTAGGCTAAATTTTGGCGTGTAGAAGAATGTAGATAGTTGTAGATATTGCAAAGAATCCTTTTATAACTTCTAAAGTATCCTCATGCTCAAATCTTTCATGGGCCTTCTGAACAGACACTTATAAATATTTTTTCTTCTCCAACAGAACGGTCACCTCACCGGCCTATCCTCCAAGCTGGACAACCCGCCAACACCACAGTACGTGTCGGAGAGGATGCCCAATTCCAATGCAAGGTCTACAGCGATGCCCAGCCTCACATCCAATGGCTGAAACACATCACCCGGAACGGTAGTCGCCATGGCCCTGATGGAAACCCCTACGTCAAAGTGTTAAAGGTAGATTCTACTTTTGTCTTTTGTTTTTCTATATTTGATGACAAAATTAGTCATATAAGAAAGCGATTACATTCCTACCCCTAAACTGCATACCCTGTGGCACTTAAAGTGTGGTGTTTAAGGTCAATCTCTTCTTATCCTTTAATTTAAATGAGACTTAAAATGTTGTGGTGTGATTTTCACTGCGATTTCTGCAAGAGATAGATCTTTGAAACAGAGAAAATCTATTCTTTCTTTATAAAGTCGAAATTACAGTCATTTTATTAAATTATATTCCCATCTCCCCATCTTTGGTTTACTGTGATGATTCCTTCAGATTGATGTAAAGTAGCTGCGGTTGTGATGTTTTCATATGTTCCTGTGTCTGATTTATCTGCTCTATTGTTTGATGGGTTGCAGCGCTCAGGCATTAACAGCACAGACATGGAGTATCTCACCATTACCAATGTCACAGAGGAAGATGCTGGGGAATATATCTGTAAAGTCTCCAATTATATAGGGGAAGTCACCCAGTCGTGCTGGCTGACTGTCATTCCAGGTAACCTGCTTCCCCCGCAGACCTGTACCACCTCACCCCCCTTCCTACCGGTGTGGGTTTTCCCTGCTGTTCAGTGGTGGTGCTGTTGATGGTCTCTTGGTGGTCCTGCTGATGGTTTGCGGCGCGTTCTTTCTCTTCCCAAGTGTTACTCCCTTTTCCTTCAGCTGCCACCGACTTTGGGATTGGTGTCGCCATGGAAGCACTGTTCAGACAAGAATAACCAGATCATCATCTCTATTTTACTTGAACTTACAGCTGTTCATATGAAAGTGTATATGTCACAGTGCTCTCCATGCTCTCTGGGTTTTTTCGCATGCGTGTGTGGATCAGTCTGGGTTCTATTAGCAGGTTCTATCGGTGATGGGTACCACTTTTGTTTGATGTAGTTGTGTGTTTTTATTTCCACATGACTCCTGGAACACTGCCTATCTTCAGCAGTGTCCGTCCTCCACAGGACCTCAATGGTGGACACTATCCAGTTCCTCTAACCTCTTTCTTGGTGTTGTGGGTCTCATATTTTCTCTTCTCTGTTTCTGCTTTTTCTCTGTTTCCTCTTTCTTTTCCTACTCTTCTCTTCTCCCAGACCGCAGGTGTTAACACCACAGATAAGGAGATAGAGGTTCTCTACTTGCCCAATGTAACATTTGAGGATGCTGGGGAGTATACATGCTTGGCGGGTAATTCTATTGGGATCTCCTATCAAACTGCTACTTTGACGGTGCTTCCAGGTATATAAATTCACTTGCTTTGTTTTCCAAGGCTTCTTTTTTTCAAAGAATTTTAAAGGGCACATATCAACAATTTTATTTCTTTTAACTTTTTTGGCTGTGTTAGGTTTAAAGCTCCCAATAGTAATATGAATTTCCAATTTTTAAAGACCTGTAAAAAAGCAAAGGTCACTAAAGTGAGACAAACTTAGACATCAGTGCATAAAGTTAAGTGAAATATTGCGCACATCCATGATAGTTCTAGGTTTAATTATCTTAAATGCAAATATTTTAATATAAATTTTAAATATCTCATTTTAGTAGTGTATGTAAGGTAATATAAGTGCATGGTTGTTACAGTGTAGCAATTTTAAAGTCACTGGATTCCAAACCACTTTACATTACATTCTATCATTAATGGACACATTAACTCACTGTGGCATGGTGGTATTTTACACAGAAAACAAAAGTTAGGAAAAATATTCTTACCTGGAACACTTTATGCAATGAAGTCTATTGAGTTCTGTCATAAAATATGCTGATATGTGTTCTTTAACAAGGTTATTTTAAACTACTTCCATGCAAGGCAAATCCTCACTTTGGAAGCTTCAGTTGGTCAGTTCATCAGATAGATTAGAGAGTGTACGCACATCTCATGGACGATGCGACACAAGGCCAGGGAGAATATTATCTAGAATATTAAGTGGGCTGGCAAGCTGTTGAAAACCCAGAGGAGATAATGATGCAGCTCACTGATGACTTATTCCAACTCCAGACCAAAGTAGAGCTCCCAGAGCAACTACAGTGTCTCAGATTCCAAAAGAGTCGAGGATTTGCCTTCTTTTACTCCTTTTAGAAAACAGTCACTTCTTCTCTTTGGTTCTGATTCTGCATGCTTATAAAAACTGTTGGTATGTTTTTAGATACGCCTTTAAGTTGTGTTTTCCTTCTTTTGTTCTGGTTCTGATAAAAGGCTTCTCATCTATTTTGAAATAATGATGGAAGGATAAAAACTTAACATTCATTTTATTTTGGCTTTAATTTCCTCAGACCTGAACCTTTCTGCTTCAACGCAGTGAATGACTCATGTGTGATTAATTACCAAAATTTAAATGTTTTTTTTTGCATGTTCTCGTATATTTTGCTTAAGCTTACAGTAATTAAGATATGTAAACGGCTTCATTCCAGTATAAAATATGTCCTTAGAAGAATTTATCCATAAATTAACTGGAATATATTTATTAAGTAGGAGAAAAGTACAATATTAAGAAATAATTATTTTTTGCAAAATCCCAAATGGCTCTCTTTGAGGCAATGCTAAAAATCTCCATAGAATAAATGAAAATGTAGTATTTTTATAGCATAAAATTATCAAATTTGCACATATCTATAGTCAAAGAAATCATAAAAACATGTTAAACTTAAAAAATATCAGTCTTCATCTTGTCACAACACACGGTCAGGGGATTTGTAGGCTTTATTAAATCTCCATAACAAAAATTAGACGCTATCTACCAAATGTCTGTTTTGTGGGATATGTTGTTGAGAGGTATTGTCTTTCCTCCACTCATGTACATGTATGGATTCTGCTATCTAGTGGGATTTTTAGATTTTTAGCATAAATCCTTTTGAGTGTGATGTAAAACAAAGGAGGAATATTTGGAAATTTACTCTGTTAAGTACTGTAGAGCTCTGTGATGCTGACGGCCTGCTTCTGCTCTAGGAGCCTGGTTAAATAGTATATATACATTATCCCCCTTGAAAAACATAATTTATATGTAAATAAGTGGCTTTTTGTATGTGCTAATGTAAGAGAAGAAATTTTACTCAACCTCTAGCCAAAGTTAATAGATAAAGCACTAATCTATTTCCAGAAGGAGTTAGGAACTGTCATTGATGCACAGTGTTTCTTTTGGACTTGCAAATGTCGAAAAAAAAAAAAAAAGGTTTCTAGAACATTAACTTCAGCTCTAGTTGTCTTGTGGCCTGTTTGGTTGCTGTGCTGCAAAGGAATCTTGTTTGTGGTCTGCAGGGATGAAACAGTCTCTTTCACACACTAAGTCCTTTTACTAGACAGGAAGTTCGGGTCATACACAGCCACAATAGACACCAATCCCCGCTGTTTGCGATCTGAATTGAAGCGTATTGTTGGGTGTGTATTTGTGCTTGTACTCGCGTGTCTCCAACATTGACACAGAGTATAGCCACATGCTGGCCTGCTTGTTAGAGCTGATTCATGATTTAAAATCTGGCAACACTGTTAAAGGCAGTAAAGGCTTGTTAGATTCTACAAAACCAGGCCTGCTCATATTACCAAAAAAATGCTTTAGTTCTGCTGTCAATGGTGATTATAATTACACATGAGTCATCTTCACTGTGTCTGTCTCTGCGTTTACGTCCTTGTCTGAAAAGTGCCTGTCCTAACCTTTGCTTGACTTGTCATTTCTTCGTGTCTTTTAGCCATAGATAAAGTCCACGGACCAATTTCTCCGGACTACGTTGAGATTGCAATCTATTGCGCAGGCGTCTTCCTCATTCCCTGCATGGTGGGCATTGTGGTGGTTTGCCGCATGAGGAACAATATAAAGAAGCCTGATTTCGGGAGCCCACCAGCGGTCCACAAGCTAACCAAACAGATCCCTCTGCGCCGCCAGGTAACAGAAAGTAGATAAAGAGTTCTAAAGGCATCTAACACTTCTAGAGGAGACAACACACAAAGTCAGAGACCTAGATTTTAAAAAGGTTGGCAGTTTCCTGATTAAACTATCTAAAGATTTTCATGAGAAATTTGTCAGAAAAAAGCACATATCGAACAAGGATGTTTACAAGTTTGGGTTAGATTTATGAGGAACAGATTGCATCAATACCCAGAAAAATGAACTGATTTATTACTTTAAGTCACTCCTAAATCAGAAACCTCATCAGTTGCATCTTTTCTACACTAAGGGGAAAAAGAAGCCAATTAATCTAAGTCTCTTTAGGCACATTAGAGGATTATTTAAAGTTATTTAAAACATTTTAAGTCAGATTTCACTTTTCAGCAGCACCGTTTTCCACATACTTAAAGTAGCAATGCATAGTTTCATGACTATAGTCTGATGAGTCAGCAAACTGGCCTGACCTAAACCTCATCGAGACACAGTGGGATATTGTCCAAAGGGAGATCAGCAGAAGGTCACTATTAAAGCATTCCTGCCGTGCCGAAATGATGCAATAATTAATCTTGAAAAGTTACCCTTGCATTCTCTGTGCAGGATATGTCTTCATCTCTGTATCAAATATCCCTTAATCATGCTTTTTCCATTATTAGTAACTTAAATTGACAGAAAAAAAGGCTTTAAAAATGTCCCTTTGTTCATGCAGAATTTCTTTATTGTTTAAGTTAAAAAAAATTGTAAATCAATATCTAAAAAGAATATCAACCTTTTGAACTGAGAAGTACTCAACATACTTTGAAGGTACTATATTTAAAAGGATCCACGCCTAGATTCATTCAGAGAGCATGAATTTCTGTTCAAGTCAATCCTGCTGCCAAAAACTGCAGCCAGATGTTTTCTCTACACATGTGGAACTTTCTGTACCTCAGGAAAAACAAAAAGGTATAGAGAGTGTTGGATTACTTTCTGAGGAGGCGACTGATTCCAGTATCAAGGTAAGGTCAGGGTGTAGAGAGAGCAGCATGGAGCCTCAGGCTCATGAACAAAGACAGGCAATTAACACAGAATCATCAAGAATTATTATAGCTGCTGACTTCTTAATCAAAGAAAAAATGGAATATCTGCCCTGGAGAAACTGTACGTTTGGTTTAATATTCAACATGGAAATTGGGCATATCTTTTGATATCTGCTCACTATACTGATTAAACATTAAACAGGTTGTGCAGTGTTATTCATGCCTAAAGTTTCAGACTCCTCTAGTGATGCCTTGGAGCTTTGACCAGCTTACGAACCTAGACTCCGTTGATCAGCCAATATTATTTTTCCTATAGGTGTCGGCAGATTCGAGTTCATCCATGAACTCTAGCACTCCCCTGGTTCGCATCATGACACGGCGGAGCTCTGGACACGATGATCCAATCCCTGAGTACGACCTTCCAGAGGATCCACTGTGGGAATTTTCTCGAGATAGGTAAGAGCTGCCTATTTATTAACTGTTTTGTATTTATACATTTCTTTTTCTTATATAGAAAATATTTTGATGTCTCTCTCCTAATTGAAATGTCTTATCTTCAGCTCCATGATTATGTTAATCAGTTTAAGTTCCTGCATAAAACTAACCAGAAAAAGATATTGCAACACGACTTAGATTTAAAGGGGCAGTGCAGGGCTTTTAATATTAGACTGTTTAAATTTTATTACCTGGAAACTAACAGTAGCAACAACCAAAGTAGACTTCTACCTTCATCTTGAAGCAACTCCTATTTCAAACACATTGTAGTAGCAATGAAAGCTAAAGTTTTAGAACCTTTAAAATTTTAAACTCTCATTACATTAACTTTGGATGGTTTTTCAGAAAAGGCAGGGATTATTTGCATTAAATTAAGTGAAAGAAGACAAACATTGAGAACAGAGCAAAGGTTTTTTTTTTCCAACTCTTTGGTAGGCGCTGCAAAGAAACCTTTTTATTTTGACATTTTTTTTATCCTTCAGGATTTACAGCCTGCATAACCTCAATATGGTGCTACAATATACACTACATATATTCATACAATAATTTAGCTGATATTAGTTATCTTGGCCACTGTTCATATTAATTAACCAATGCCAGAACTAAAACACAGTGAACTGGGCAATAATGCAATGTCAATATATATCATGATATAATTTTATTTAATAATGATGAGTTGATACTTCCATGTACTCTGCAGTCTGTGGTGAAAGTGTCTGTCACTTACTGACATTCCGGGCGTAGGAAATTTAAGCTGTCCTGTTACATTATAGGATGGGTGGATTGATCAGTTTCGACTGAGATGATCCTTCAATGAAAAAACAATGCATGCTTTATTGCCTCTACTTAAGCATATTTAGTTATTTTAACACACCTGTGTCATGTCCCGCCCTGCTAACCGGAAACAGTTGAGTTAAAATAACAAAATATGCTTAAGTAGATGCAAAAATGTTTTTTATTCATGCTACTAACATTTGCTTGTTTATTTTTGCTTAAGATGAGTAGGGCAAAATGAGGGAGAGATACAGTAATGACCAGGTTAAATGAGCATCTCATCTATTAAGCTTGTAGCCCTCCAAAAAATAGGTACCGGTAAACTTTGCATAAGATTAAGACATTTGTACAGGATTCTGTTGTGGGCTTTGTTTTCTGAGACTTTGAGATTTAAACATAAAGTGTTTCACAAATTAGAAGTGCTTTTTTTCTTTTATACCATTCAGACGATTTACTTTAGCAAAAAGTCAATATTACATAAAGCCAAACAAAATATATATATGTATATATTAACTCTTCTTCACAATCCGCCCAAGGCTAATACACATTTTTTATACTTTTTTTCTTTCATTAATCTGCAGTGTGCTTTAAATTACTGCATGTTATCTTGTTTCTTTAACATTAATATTTGATTGCTTAATTCTTAAAATATATACTCCTCTGAGTGTAATCAACTTGGATTAAATAATAGTTTTAGTTTTTTTAATTAAACTTTAGTTTACGATGAGATTTAATTAAATGAGATGCAGTTATATCCCTTTAAGTGGATCCTAATAACATAAAGACGTGGATTTAAATGCAATATGTATAACATATCAGCAATAATTAAAAAGCTATTTTTGAAATGGGGGATTGACACCCTGCATGTTTGTGATGACAGAGACAAAAGCTTTTGAATCATCTGCTGTACAACTTGCCCCATCATTACCATAGCAGCTAAACTTCCCTCTCTCCCTCTATTACATGCTTCTGTCCGTAGAGAGTGAAGTCGTGCTAATTAGTGGCTGGTATTCGCAGCTTTCATCTGCATGTTTGGGCAAGGAGTGCTGCCTCTGTGCCATACCAGAGGAATTAGCTCAGCTGAGGTTTCAGTGTGTCAGAGTTGCTGCGATAAGCCTTAAGGTTGACTTGACAAGTCGGCAAAGGTTAGAGAAGTTTTAAAACAAACGAAAGCACTGAGCTTTAAAAGAACTGGGGAATTTCCTCAAGCTGTTGCTAAAAGGTCAGTAACCAAAAAAAAAAAAAAAAAAAGTTTAGCTCATAATATTTGTATATATTCTCATGTAATGCTAGGTTTTGGTTTAAAATTGGGATTAATTCAACTTATGATTTGAATTTGGCTGTTTAGCCAGGCTCTTCCTCTCTGTTTGGGTCTTTATTCTCTGCCTGTCATCCCAGCGCCTAAAGGATCATGTTGGGATTGTAAAACACTGAGGAATGCTAACTTTTGCGGTCTGGGCCGCGGAAAAAAATAACATTGATTATGTGTGGCCGGATGGACAGAATGCCTGCCATTGAGTGTAGCCTGTGTTTGTGGACAGATAGGGGATTGTGTTACTACCGCAGGGCGCCAGCCTCAGGCCCGTTGGTTTAGCACTGTGCTGTGAATGTTTAGATAGGGGGACGGTGGGTTTTATGAGGTGGGGGGCCAACTTATGTCAATCAAAGTGAAAAACACCAGGTTGTAGGGCATGTTAGTGGGCCCTACGATGGATAGCTGCTGAAGATCATGCAGTAAAGTTAAAAATCAAACCAATAACCTTGACATAGCTAACAGTTAAAATATGTAGTTACTTGCAAAGGCCAACTTCACCGGATTTTTTTTCTGATTTTATTTATCAGACTAACATATTCAAATAATAAAATAAATGTTAAATTATTTTTTTTATTTAACAGTTTGACCTGCATTTGCATTCAGCCTCCTTATGCTGATACCCCTTTATAAAGTCTAGTATAATTAATTGCCTTCAGAAGACACCAATTTAGGAAATATATAATCTTTTTTTCTTTTTTTTTTGTAAAATCTGAAATAATTGTGTCTTTTGCATTTCATTTTATCATTAAGCACCTTTGTTAAACTAAATGCAATTAAGTTTTAATTTGAAATTTAAAAAATTATAAAAAGCACACAGATTGGGAATTCTCTGTATCCACAGTCTGAGGCGGCGATATAGCTACTCCAGCCTATTTCAATGGCAAAGGGAAGCCAGAATTTCATCCATCACAGGCTAATATGTCAGGGCTAAGCTGCCTCCTTTGCAGAGACTTATAAGTGTATACTGGAACATGCCAAGACAGGGTAAACAGTTTACAAAAGAGTGGCTCTACTTGGGTTTATGAAGAGATTATTCCTGCCATGTGTCTTCTTACCTACTGTTCTGGCTCAAACCTCATTGATGCACTAAAGCAATCCTCCAAACAGAATCTGATTAAAATACAAAGAAGATGAAATGCTGACTGTAGCTAGGAAACTGTCTTTCTGTCTGGTCTTAAATACCTTGATCTCACATTTTATTCCTACATTTTATTTTCCTACAGAGTGGCAGCCAATGCAGCTCATATCACAGGACACTTTTAACTTATTGGCTTGCGGTTTAATACCTTTGTTTTCTTTTAGGTTAACTCTAGGCAAACCTCTGGGTGAAGGCTGCTTTGGCCAAGTTGTGATGGCAGAAGCTCTTGGCATCGACAAGGACAAACCAAAGGAGGCGGTCACTGTTGCAGTCAAGATGCTGAAAGGTGAGGTTTAAAGCAATTATTACCGTACTTCCATTGCTTATAAATTAATATAGAATATTACATATACATGCTGTTTATTGATTAAATAAGTGCTTTTTATCTCCTGTATGATTATAGTTCTTTATTTAGAGGCTTTGGGAAACACTTTAGGCTAAAAGTTTAACCTAAAAGTTAGTATATGAGTAACTTTCTTGGTGTGCGTAAAATTATACAGTACACAGGAACGTTTGTTATGCTAATATTAACTGGTTAAATGCTTTGGATATCTCCTGGGGTAGAACGTCATACATAGTTTACGAAATGAATGCATTATTTCAACAGCAGGAACTCCTGTAAGTCCTGTCTTGGCATATTGGGCAACTATTACTGTGAGGGAGGGGCAGCGCTGCCTTATGCTGTGCTACATACAGTATAGCCAAAGCAAACTTGGCTTAACTTGTCTTGAATCCCTTTACACAAAGGAGGTGTATGACACAAAGTTGTTTAGGTTCACTACATTGTTTTTCTATACCTTGTTACCAGTATACAGCCAATGCATAGTCTTTGTCTTGCTTTGTTGTTTCTGACTTAAGAGGAGACATGTAGATTTGGATTAATTTCACGTCTGAAATCACATCTTATGAGAGAAGTAGGAACGTTTGTTTAGTTAATTAATGTGGGAGGGTCAGCAAAGGTGCAAGTTGGAGCCTGAGGCTGTGGTTATTATTCGTTATTGGTGCCTGCTGACTGACGGCTTGAGGAAGGTGGTTCGAATAGGTAAAGGTTAGGGGGTGGTTGCATACCTGACCCCGAAGCAACGTTTGGGTAGAGCTCAGTCAGTATTCAAACAATGAGGCAAGTCACGTCAAGGGCGCTGCTGTGATTAATGAAAGCTGAAGGAGGGGTCAGACCGGTTTGGGGTTGCAGGACACTGTAAGATTAGGTACATTAGAGGTCCTGTTTACCTTCCTTGACTGTAGAGTACTTTTAACAGTGACTCAAGTTACTATAATGTAGCGGAAGAATGCAAGAAATGCCATCTTGACTAGCTTAGTGTATTTCTAAACTTCCGCTGTCTCAAGCAGTTCCACAATAAAGTGTTCTTGTGGTGAAGATAATTCATTTCCCTCTTTTCCATTCTGGCTCTGAAAGCCTGTGTACTGTATGTGAGGAGCTGTAACTTTAGCCACTATTGTCTGTCATCCCGGCCTAATCACAAGCAGCTTCCAAATTAGCTTCCATAGAACTGAGAAGACCCTTAACTTAAAGTAAAGCTAAAAGACAGATGGACCATGTTTATTTTGGATGATGTTTTTCCAGACACCCATGAATGTGAACTTTTTTGTCGTTGCAGATGATACCACAGAGAAGGACCTTTCTGACCTGGTGTCAGAGATGGAAATGATGAAGATGATTGGCAAACACAAGAACATTATTAACCTTTTGGGAGCCTGCACGCAAGATGGTGAGTGTCTAATAAACAGTGCCTTACCTAAATGAATGTAAACCTCTATTGGGACTTAATTTGATATAACAAAACAAGGGAGTTCATGAGAGTGAGGTGGAAGAAAAGTTATACACACGTTTAAAATCTTCTGGAAAAGTAAAATCTAAACTTATTTACCCCTCCGAGTCAATGCTCTTGCCATTTATCAGCTTCATTAGATTGGATGGAAGGTGTTAGTTAACATCAATATTCTAGTGTTGCAATAGATTATAACTTAGATTTTGGTCTGGACTTTGACTAGGCCATTCAAACACGTTAACTGTTTTTATTTATGGGTATTCATGTAAGGGGCTTAATACTTAAACTGGGCAAGTTCCACCAGGATACATAGCATCTTATATCACTTTACAATTATTTGCAAATTCTTGACAAGCTGCTTTAAAAACCTATTAAATATCCACTGTAATAAAATTAATAAAATCACTTATTGTTGACCGACAAAGCCGAAATGTTACCACAAATTAAAATATTAATGTTATTTTAGTATACCTGTTTTTATCACAGAAACCATTATTATCTAAAGGTTTAAAGAATAGTTATTGTTTGCTTTCCTAAACATCGGTCAGTCTTAATGCAGGTAGAAACAAAGATTAAAAGTCTTATCTTTGCTTTATAAACTTTCCCTTCAATAAAGTCTTTTATAATAGTGTTTGAACCCCTATTCTGTGTGACTTGTGCCTATACAGGTCCTCTTTATGTGATAGTAGAGTATGCCTCTAAAGGCAACCTCAGAGAGTACCTCAGAGCCCGCCGTCCTGCTGGGATGGAATACTCCTACGACATCGCCCATGTCTCAGATGAACAGCTCACTTTCAAAGATCTTGTCTCCTGCACTTATCAAGTTGCACGTGGCATGGAGTATCTCGCATCTCAAAAGGTAAGAGGAGGACACAAGCAAGCACACAAAATGCCCTACTTTCACATCAACCTTCCAGCTCACTGGCTGCTTAGATCCATCTCCTTGCCAGTGATCGGTACCTAGAGAGTTTAACAACATCATCCAAAAAAGGTTTTATGTCGGAAGCTTGTTTGTGTGTCCCTGTGGGAACACGGTCCCCTGAAAACACTACTCATACCCCCTGCCCAAATCCTTGTATTGTCTCACATTGCACGACAAAAGCCCCTCTGTGCAGAAGAATTGCGAGGTTCTCACAATGGGGGTACAGCCATTTTGGCCAAATGCAGCCTCACGCTCCCTCTCACTGTTGGAATGTGACTGTCTGACACGCACACATACTTTGGTCCATACATTCATTATCATTTCATGTTCAGATACTGAACACATGGCTAAGTGTGACTTATCCAGGGTCATGTATTTGTTTCATGAAAGTCCTAACAGCTTTCCAAAAATTATAGACCTAACCTTCTTCTCTTCTTTTACTTTTTTCCATTTTGACCTCCCCATTTTTCTTCCTATGACCTATTTTTTTCCACTGTTTCCATCCCAGTGTATACACAGAGACCTGGCAGCGAGGAACGTTCTGGTCACAGAAAGTAACTTCATGAAGATCGCTGACTTCGGCCTTGCCAGGGACGTCCACAACATTGACTACTATAAAAAGACAACCAACGTAAGTCCTCACATCTTCTATGCTGCGCACTGAAGGGTTGGAGGTTTTAGATTATTGGCTGTTTTTTTCTATTTTTGTAAACAGTTTGAAATCAGCTCACATGGTTTAGGCTTTTCTCTGTCCCCCCTCATCTTTCTGCTTCACTCTTTTCCTCTTCTGGTGTCTTGGCAGAAGCTGCAGGTTCCCAGGCAGGCTGTGAATGTAGTTCTTCTCTAGACCCTGCCTAGTTCACCCCCTCAGTCTCTTGTTCTTTTAGTTTCATCAACATTTAAACAATTAGCTCCAAAAGACACACGGAGAGAGGGAAAGGGGGGGGAAAGGGAGCAGACTAAACATAACTGACATCTCCATAGTGGCCCAGTGGTGTCTTTCTTTCCCACCACATATCAGCACTGCCGGCACATCCTCATTTAATATGCATGACTGCCTTTTTCATTGCATGCACGATCATGCTGAGAACTAGCTGACAACCATGACAGTATTTGATGACTATGATGGAGGTGAGTGCTGGGACAATAACCACAGCTACAGCAGTGTGTTTTAGGATCTGATGGAGCCATCAGCTTTTATTCTTTAGTCTTCGTTTTCACAAAATGAAGCCTTTTATGACTACTATTTATTGCTGTTTTTTAGACTTTATATCATGTTATAACCACAAATTGTGCATGGTTTTAGTCTTTCGCAGTTTTATTACAAATAAGATGTATGGTGAATTATTAGTTGTGGGTTTCACAATTTGTCCTTTATGGAAAAGTGAGAAGTAGAACCACACTTTTAAAGTAAGCTTTCAGAAGTCCTCTTTGTAGTTTCAAGCATGTTTGGGTCAAAGCAAACATCTGGAAGGAGGAGCTCTGGTCAGACCAATGAAAAATGATGGTGGCATCGTCACGCTGTAGGGTGCTTCTCTTTTAGAAGGACATAGAAGCTGGTCAGACTTTTTGTAAGAAGAAGGATGAACCTAGACAAGGGGTAATCCTGAAGAAAAATGTTCAAGGCTTCAATAGCCCTTTGAATTGATAAAAGGCTCAGCTTTCAGCAGGACAATAATCACCTCAACATTACAGCCTGGGCTAAAATGAATGGCTTATATGAAAGCATATTTATGAAATTAGAATTTTCCAAAGTCCCACCCTTAATACAACTGGGAATCTGCAGCAATTATTGAAAAGTGATTTTAACAAAGGTTTACCTTATTCTGAACTTGATAATTAAAAAATATATATAATTTATCTTTAAATCTACTATAAGCCTGTGGAATGATATGGACAAATATGTGTTGTTTTGTATCAGACAAATAACACTGATATTTGTGGTTTCATATGGCAAGATGAGAAAAACTTCAAAGTTTACTACAAACACATCATCTGTGTGATGTCCTCTTAATATCCATATCCAATCCAATCCACTTTATTTATATAGCACGATTTCAATAAACACAAGGTTTCCAAAGTGCTGCACAAAAAGATAAAATAACTAAAATAAATAAAAATAAAAGTAAATAAAATTTAAAAAATAAATAAAAGCACTGCCAGCACAGGATAAATATATGCATGTGTGTATACATAAAATCAACACTCTACATGGTATCAAAAGCCAAAGAAGCAATACATCTCTTTACAAAAAGTTAAAGAATCAAAACATGGAGCTCTTAACATTACTAATGACTCGTCACACCCCCACCATGGACTGTTCTCCCTGCTTCGTCTGGGAGGAGGATGCAGGTCCAGCAGATTCTGCAGCAGTTCTTTCCCACCACCATCAGACTGCTGAACCGTTGAAAAAAAAAAAACTCAACATCACGTCACAGATTCTGCATCACGCTGTAAACACCAAACCCAAAATATACTGCAAATTTGCACCATACACCACAAAAAATAGAATTCTAAATAAGTCATTTTTTCTAGTTTTTCTTGAATTTAGGTGGTAAGTCAGACACTTTACCAGTAGAACAAGACAATTTACATTTAAAATAAGAAAAAAAACAATTACATTGTGTTATTTAAAGTGCATATTGTCTAATTATCTTATTTTAAGAGCAAAACTACTCATTCTATTCACAAATAATCTTAATTACCGGATGAAACTGAGGTTGAAATACACTTAATTTAAGAAATGTTTACTTATTTCTAGACCATTTTTGCAGTGTAAGTATTAATGCTCTGAACTTCATATCAATGCGTTTTTTTGCACCATGTTTTTTTCCTCCCACACTGTTTACATTTGATGACTGCTGCACTTTATAGAATGGAAATGTTCATTTACTGTCGAAACGCTGTACAATAAATGTTGTCTATGTCTAACTAATTGAATCTCCATAGAAATATTTAATCTCTTGAATAAATGAGTTAATGCCCCTCAGGTCTTATTATTAAGGTAAGGCACACTCTGACCTTGCCAAGAATGCTTATCCGCTCCGTCTGTTTTAATGGAACACAGAGATAAACTCTCCTTTATCCGTGGCCCTGTTTATCACCTCTATTGCTTAAACAACATAAATGCTCCTTTGGGAATTCCCATCCCAGACGGTTGCTTTGTTTTTACACCCTTAATTGAGAGGTTGCTCTCACATTTCAGCTTTTTTTCCCTCTCTTTAAGAGTAACAAGATAATGACAGCGAATAGCTCGAAAGATGCTGATGATGCCAGAAATAAGGAGTCCAAGAGTTTCTTACGGCTTGGCTTTTAGTTAACCTTCCTGTGTGTTTGTCTTTTCAGGGTCGTCTCCCGGTTAAATGGATGGCTCCCGAGGCGCTCTTCGACCGGGTCTACACACATCAGAGTGATGTGTGAGTATTTGTATTCCATATTGGTATTTACTAGAAAGTCACTGCTGTATTTTCTATCACTGCCCCTTGTGCAGTTAGATTAAAGTAAGGTGCCACCTTTGATTTTTGGGTGATGGGTATAGAGTTTTTGGGGGGTTATTGGCTATAGGAGGCAAACGTTGGCCAGTCTGTAGCAAAAGTGAGGATTTCACGCTAGACTTGCAGCCAATGCCGTGTTACTAATCTGACTGTCTTCAAAGAGCCTGGAAGGAGTCCGAGGCCCACCAGAACCCCTCCCTTCCCCCCTCCAGCTTCTCCGGCCCTGCTCGGAAGTCTCCCCACCTTTTCAGGCCTCTACTTAATGTCTGAACATAACAGTGCTGCAGGCCTGCATTCCCTCTCTCCTGTCCCCCCTCTTCTCCTCATTCAGCAAAACTTAACACATGCTGCTGTTCATTGTTTTGGACCCGTTCCATGATCAAAATAACTCCCCCTCTTTCCCTTTTATCTCTGAATTCTTATTTTCTTTCATCTGGTATGTGAATCGTTGACCCGTGTATGTCTCTTCCTCATTTTATTTAAGATCAAGAGTACTCATTCTAAAAACAGAACAAAGCAAGAGCATCCCTCTATTTTTGGTGTTTGAGTCTCATGAGTCCTGACAGAGTTGTTTGAAGTTTCTGCTGCAGACACTGGCGGCAGAAAAGCGCATGTGGCAATTAGATAAATGCCTTGCTGACCCTCGCCAAAGGAGGCTTTCGCTGCGAGCATTTCAGTCAGACACCAGTAGCACACAAAACATCCCAATTAATTCGAAGAATGCGTTTACTGTCGTTGTCTCTGTGTGGTTTGTCTCGTGTACATAAAAAAAATCTGTGTACACGCAGGGCGTCCTTCATGTTCCACAGCACAGCACCAATCAATAACACAGGAGAGCTCTGCAGAAAGGGAGTGTGTGCGCTAGGTCCTGTGTACTGGCTCACCACTAATTACGATCCATCACTCACTTTTAGTAATTGGCTTTTTGTGTGTGTGCAGGAGGAGGTGGAGCCGAATCAAACATCACAAGGCACAGGCAATCTATACATGACATCAGATTAAATGAATACATGAATTGTAATGACACTCCCCCCTTTGCGGTATAACAAATGGGCTCAGAGGAGCAGCTCTGGAGAGTGTAGGTATGAGCGGACAGTTACAGCTGAAGTGTAGAGAGCCAGACTTTAGTTTTAGATCCAATATATCCACTGGAGATGCACCGATCAAGGTTTTACTTGCAGATTTTCCATTTATTTTTTATCGAACTTTGACTGTTATTTTTATTTCACTTTTATAAACTTTGGGCAGTTATTTTCTTTATTTTTATGGAAACACTATGAGCTGTTGTTAAAAAGTATTTGTGCAGAGTTGAATTCTTTAAGTGTAAACGGGAGTCTTTCCTTGTATTCGCTAGAAAAAGGCATTTATCCTTAATCTTTCAGTCCCCTAAAGGTTGCACACACTTATGAATTCTGTTCCATTCATGACATAAAAGAGCTTGATGTTCAAAATAATTATATAGAACAATTACAACACATTTTTTCTTCTTTCCTGACTATTTTCCAAGACAGCTCCCCTGAGCTGAATGATAAACAGTTACATTTTATTGTTCTTTCTCGCTTCCACATCAGAATCTTGTATTTGTCACATGCTGTTAGCACCTGGTCATTTCACTGATGTATTTAAGAAAAAAATGGGTTTACTAGCTGATTCATTACTAACAAATCAAATATAAAATGTATATTACTTCTTTCGTTTTTTTCTTGGCCATGCATGTTTAGGTTGATTATAATAACCCTAGCCTTCCTTCTGTCACTTAACCCACACAAAAGAGTGTTAAAGGTAGTGCGACCTTTTAGCGTTTTGGTATATTTTGTTTGTAAACCAGAGGAAGAAAATCTGTAAGTCTTTATCCTATAGTCAGAGCTTCCACACCAAATACTATTGTACTCAGTGTGACTCTTAAAGGAAAATTCCGGTTTTTAACACTTTTAGCCCATTTTCTATAGTGTCCAGGATGAAATCGAATGATCGACACCAAAATTTTGACGATTGGTCCTGTCTCTGCTATTTGGCTCATGCAGAATCCACCCCTGGCTGCTTCAGAATGGCTTCCATAGTGCATGTCCGATAATGTCCTTAAAACAACCTTAAACGTTCTTTTTTTAAAATATGCTACTCACCGGGTCGTCAGCGCTGTTCAATGACGTTCCAAAAAACGTTTCGTGAAGAAAAAACGTTCCTGTCTTGTTTTATTTAGCATTTTGTAAATCCCAGAACTATTTTTTCCGATACATCACAACCGCTTATAAACTTCCGCTTCCCGTTCGAATCTGAAGCGTTGCACACTCCAGACCACTAGTTGGCGACGGTATCCTCTACCGTCAAACTCAAAGTCCAATATGTCCTCCTCAAGAATCCACCTTTCGTATTCCATTTTCAGAGTTTTTTAAAGTGTTTAACAGAGACGTTAGCAGCTCGACGTCGGAGTACACAGAGTGAAGCAGAAACACTTGGGCCTTGCGAAAAGACTTCAACTAAGTGTAAACAGGCCCCATTGACTATTCCAACAGAACTCAATGGGATTTACAAAATGCTAAATAAAACACTACAGGAACGTTTTTTCTTCACGAAACTTTTTTTGGAACGTCATTGAACAGTGCTGACGACCCGGTGAGTAGCATATTTTAAAAAAAGAACGTTTAAGGTTGTTTTAAGGACATTATCGGACATGCACTATGGAAGCCATTCTGAAGCAGCCAGGGGGGGATTCTGCATGAGCCAAATAGCAGAGACAGGACCAATTGTCAAAATTTTGGTGTCGATCATTCGATTTCATCCTGGACACTACAGAAAATGGGCTAAAAGTGTTAAAAACTGGAATTTTCCTTTAATATGGTGCATTTAGAGGAGTATTTTTTCCTACTGACTCCTCACCAACCTTTTCCAGTCCACCTGTAAACAGGAATTTGGTTTTCAAATCATAACCAGATTTTATATGCATCTATGATAACCACACAATATATAAAGTGGTTTTATCATTCATGTCTGCACTGATTTTTGGCAGCGATCAGATATCCTGCACTGGAAGCATATGATGTAACACTATGACTTGAATGTGATGAGATATGGATGACTCCTCAGTCCCAACCTTGTTTACATAGAGGCATCCATTAATTAAATGACTTGCATAAACATAATCTATGTTTGAAACTGACCGAACCACAGAAGTGTTCTGGTCTCCACTAAGGCATAATGCCAGGTCAGCTAAGTACCCCCCTGAGTTTGTGTGTTTATTTTTGTAAGTCATGGCTGCTTGCAGGTGGACATCATCCTGCACAGCTAAACAAGCTGACAAGTGCTGAGCGATGGTTACAAAGTGACACAGAAAGGAGAGACGAGTGTGTCAACAAGGGCAGAGATGCAATGCATTGATAGAGCAGAGAACAGACCTGGCCGGCTGGTTGTGTAAACAGATGAAAGTAATGATAAATGCCCAAGTTTTTGGTGTTCAGAGTTTTCTGTTTGGACCCCTTATGTGCTTGATATGCACGCAGTCTGTAGTAATGCATGCTATGTTTCGTAAAATAATGCACCCCTTACGTCTTAATACAGAAGCTGCTAAGTGAAAAAGTTAACATTTGAGACCTGGAGCTTAGGAACAGGAAGTTGAAGCAAGCAAGCAGTTAATAATTAGTATTCACCACCTCTGCCTCTGGACATCTTTTGTTGATTATTTCTCCTTTGTCTGCTGTGGGTGGTCCAGTGTTTGCTTTGGTTTGGTGCGAATGGACAATGCCAGGCTCTGTAACCAGTCAGCTAGGCACAAAAGCCGTCATTGAGATCAGAGCTGTGCAGCACTGCCAGTGGCTTTGCACCACAAGTCACTGGATGACAGAAAGTGGGCATTTAATGCACTGATGTTTCTATGTTGTATTTCCTCTCTCCATAAATCATTTGACAAGACGGAAGTTATCTGCCAAGCAGCTCTAATGGTGCCATATACTGAAGGTTTCTGATTAGATTTGCATACATCTGCATTTCTTCTCTGACTTTGAATTCCCTTTCTATTTTTCCTGTTTTCCTCACTAGTTGGTCTTTTGGGGTGCTGATGTGGGAGATCTTCACCCTTGGGGGTTCACCCTACCCTGGCATTCCTGTAGAAGAGCTCTTCAAGTTGCTAAAAGAGGGACATCGCATGGACAAACCTGGAAACTGCACCAATGAGCTGTAAGTTTAGTACTTTACTCCAAAAATAAAATCTTTTCCATCCAATTAAAGTCAGCCTTAGTTGTTGTTGCACTAAGCTTAACATTTTTGGAAGTTGTTCTCCTATGTTACCACCTCCCAAAATTCCCAGTAAAATCTAATCCAACTGAATGCATACAAAAGCAACCACCCAAACACAAAAGATTATTATTATTCTTACAATTAAAAGTGATAAAGTAGCCATAGCCTGATATGTGAATATTGTAATTTATTCTAAAATTCTATTTACATTAACATTTAATAATTATTAGGAGAAAAAATAAATAAAACTCATTCTGACCCCTTTTCATATCCAATTTTTTCCTCAAAGGTAAAAAGATAATTTTACTTTACGCGTTTATGTGGATGTAGCGTTAGCAACATTAGCTGTTTGCCATGTTTCATTTAGCATTGTTTCCTGATCACACCAATTATAAGTTAATAGTTGCACAAGCAGCAACACCTTCTAACTGCCTGCAGGCGAGTCGCTGATTGGTGGAATCAAGCAAAGTGGAATAATATTAACACCCTTCCACGAATCCATCAAGGAGGACATTTTTGATCGCATTCTGTGGAGAGTTTTTTCTGGTTTGAACCAAGAGGCATCAAGAAAAAACCAAACACATTTTCTGTCTCCAGATTTTCTTGGAGGTTTTTCTGAAACCCAATATGAACAGACACATTTTAAGATGGAAAATTCAGATTTCTGGGTGATGGGACCTGCAAAAAGCTCCAATTTGGAAATTTGCATCCTATGTATACCGATATATTGGCTCGCTAATATTTTGATGACTATTAGCCTTTCATTCTTGTATCAGCATTTGGTCGCTATATATATGGATGCATTCATTCAGCAGCTATGCCTTGAGATCACACAAATCTCATGCACTGCAGTAATACATCTTTCTTTTTTGATAAAAATTAGAATTGTCTGAATTTTGGTAATCATTGCTTTCATTTTTATTATATAAATGAAGTAAAAAATCAATACTGGCATAAAAATCAGGTTTGGTTATACTGGTGTCAAAATAATAGATATCGGCCTTAAGGAAAAACCTGTACCGGTCAATCTCCAATATGTTGATGTTAAAGTATATTTTCTCCTCTCTCAGGTACATGATGATGAAAGACTGTTGGCACGCCATTCCATCACAGAGACCCACCTTCAAGCAGCTAGTAGAGGACCTGGATCGAATCCTCACCCTGAACACTAATGAGGTGAGTCTAACTGCCATTCACACCTCTCCTTTTCGGTAACCGTTAGCTCATTCGATCTGGGTGGCCGGAATTCATGCCTCATGTACCTTCCTTGCAAACAGACCTTTAAATGCAATAAAAGACTAAACACAATAAAGGGAGGAGAACACCAGTTTTTGAGTGTTGCCAGAAAGTTTATAGAGCTTGGTTGACGTGAGGCTGATACGGTGCTGAGAAATGACTGGATGATCTTATCCTTACTCAGCATAGCTGCTGAGGTCCAGTCGTCACATCAATGCCTCATTCCCTCTTTTTCATTCGCTTCTTTGTCTCTTTCAAAAGAGGCCGCCAATTGAAAGCTGTAAAGAAATGTCTGCTCTGGAGTTGGACCCTTGTGGACTTATGCCAAAAAATCCCAACTTAGAGTTCAAACTTTTGAAATGTAATAAAGCCCCCTTTTCTTGCCCCTTTTTCTCTCCCTTTCCTTCACCCCAAACCGCTGGCAGATGTGGAGATCTTTAGTAATATGAGCCTGTTCGTGTTGAGCTGGGAAAATGGAAGCCAGTGCTCATTTTCTACAAAACCCCAAGAACTCTTCATCCACACAGCGATGCCCAGTAACAGCCATTAAAGTCAAGGAGAGGGGGGAAAAAAGGGGGCCTCCACAGACACAAACATCTTTGCAATACTGGACTGAGTCAAAAATTAATAACAGGATTTCTTGAGGTTTTCATCTTTCCCTTTTCATGGCGGTTAGCTGAACTCTTCCAGCTTCTTGAATTGTTTTTCAAACCGTCTCCTATGGTTTACGTCAAGAATTTCAACGCCAGATTTCTGACTGAATGTATGTGGATACAGTTAAGGTCCAGTATAGGGGCCCCAGTTCCTATGAACATTCATACTCTATTAACATATTTTTACCTTTTATCATGTAGTGAACTTAAATTTAGAATTTAGACATTTTTTTACAGAACAACGCAGTAATGCTTAGTACTGTATTTAAGCGGAACTAGATGTGCTTTTCAACCATGGTTTAGAAAAATAAATCTGAAAATTGTTGCTTGCATTTGTATTTAGCCTCTCTAAGTCTAAACATCTTCTGCAACTGAAGCTGTAAATCATTTTGAGGCTGTCCGTAATGGCACAGATCAGGTTTAAAATCTTCACCCATTCTATTGTCCTTTTTTTACACATGCATATGCAAATAAAAGCATACTCTTGTAGGTTTATTAAAATTCCGCCTTATCTGCAAAAGCACAAAATAAGTCTGTTTCTAAAACGTTAAAGAAGCTTAGAGGTGGTACTTTGGGTATTTAAAATCAACAGAATCATGGTTCTGATTGACCAGCAGCTCCTCTGTCATGAAAAAGTCAGAAAGACACTAAATACCAGACATTCAACCATGCCTGCTAAACGCTGAGAATAATTCTGCTCCTGAAGGCAATGCTAAAAGTCCAAGGAATCAGCTCTATTTTCTAAAAAAAAAAGGACTTTTTGGCTTGTTATCTCCCATCAGAACAGAGTTTCTGTTTTAATAAAATTATATATGAGGAGAAAAAAATGAATCTTGGATAATTTCATCTTCTCTTCAGCAGTGGGTCTCTGCAGCCCCCCTTAGAATTAACATTGGCCTTTTGGCTGCTTCTTGTCCACATCCTGTGCTTGTCTTTGCCTTTAAGTTCAGATCTGAGGCTACGTTTTGGGTGGCTCGCAGCTATTCAACAGAACTTCACGGGTTTGGTTCTTAACATCTGATCTATCTCTAACCGTTCTGCTGTGTGATCAGGTCAGCTTGAGCTCTGCTGGATAAGACAGCAATAGTAGAAGATAATTTTTCTATTCTATTCCGTAAATTCTCCCAGAATTTGGTATGGTTTAGATGAATATCAATATAAAGGTGATCCTCCCCCCCTTCCCTTGAAAGTCTTGGTGAACGGGTTTCAACTCTTGATCTATCAGCTACTGGGTTGCGCCTGAAGTTTTGCAACTTTTTTTGTATAGTCTAAGTGTAGATGTTTTTTTCTAACAGTCTTTTTCTCCCCCATCTGCATCCTCAGGAATATCTGGACCTGTGTGCTCCTACGGAGCAGTACTCCCCCAGCTTCCCTGACACCCGAAGCTCCTGCTCCTCCGGCGATGACTCCGTGTTTTCCCACGACCCATTGCCGGAAGACCCATGTCTCCCCAAGTACCAGCACATCAACGGGAATGTCAAGAGATGAGCCTCTGCTGGCTCAGATCCCTCCCCCAAACCAAACCCCCCGCCCCCCCGAAGCCAACTTTTGGCCTGCCCCAACCTCAATGTCGCTGAACAGACGTAGCACAGACACCTTCCTTGAAACGGACCTAAACAGGGACTTGCACTGCCACACGCCGAAACAGAACACTCAAGGTCTTAAAGAAGGGGACAGAGGCTGATATGGAGGCTCCTTCAAACTGACTGAATGTACTAACATTCTCTGAGGCTTCCTCCTTCTCTCTCTCTTGTAAACACACAGCTTTTTCTCGTCTTCTGGTTCTCATCTTCCCAACCCGAAGCTCCGCAGCACTACTTGTTTGGTGATCCAGTAGCAGTGCTTGGCATTCCAAGATTTGTTTACTCCCGGAGGAATGTATGGACTAGTATAAACTGAAAAATAAACAAAGTAAGAGGAAACCATGAAACTAGAAGACGAATAGGAAAATGGACTTACAGATGGAGCTCTGACTAACAAAACAGGAATAAGAGGAGAAATTATATAAAAACTTCTCTCCTGCTTATTTTGTGATATTGGTGCATCTCTCTTGATAGATGTCTGGAGAAAGAATCCCCATTAAATGTAAAGTGCTGGCTATATTTGTAAATATATTCAAATATGTATAAAAATATATTATATATTTACTATGAATTATTTTTTGTATGGACTTGGAAATAACCCCCTCCAAACCTTGCTCCCATTTTTTGAGGGAGGTTATGCTGACAGATGTCCTATATTTCTTCTCATACACACTCTGGTCAACACACACCTTTTCTCAGTAACATTTGAGCATTGGCTTTCAGGGACTTCGCTAGTATGTTAATTTATTAAGTTACGTATTTTAAAAATGAATTGTAAAAGAACAAAAAAAAGAAAACCAACAGGATGGTGGAAAGGATTACATTAATGCTGATGATATGAAATGATCCGTTAAATTTATGGTAATTTAAGAATAATCCTTCAGCAGTAAACAGAAGGTTTCTATTTTTAGATGTTTGGAGAAATCCAGATTTTGTAAGTTTTATACATGAATGTGAATATTAAGTTAAAAACTTAAAAAAACTGTACATTTTATAGTCATCTAATCCTTCTCTTATATAGATATTGATGCCATTTCTATCCCGTTGTTTTTAGCCACGGTTTAGGCAATGAAATATTTGGATATTTATATATAAGTAAAAGAAATGTCTACTTGCAATCATCTTCCTCATTTGTAATAAAGAAATAAACCTAGAGTTCCTTAAAATAATTAAATTTGGAAAATATCAAATGTTTTTTTTTGCTTTTGTTTTTTTTTTTTTTTTTTTTTTTACTGGACCAACATTAAGATGCTGTTTTGCAGGTGTTCATGCTGCATTTGCAAAAAAAAAATAAATATGGAAAAACCACCTTCACTTGTTCATTGCATAATTTTTCAGCGGATTAAGCCTCAGTATTAGAGGTGCATAGAAACCATTGTTTACTTTCCTTAACACCCTCAATATATAAATATATATATATATATATATATATATATATATATATATATATATATATATATATATATATATATATATACATATATATACATATATGTGCACATTAATAGGGTTAGATTATTGTGTTCACATTTGCTAGACATTTTAGTTCAAAGGACCAGAGTATCACGAGGAAAATATATCATGAATATAATTTGTTATCCACACTTATTATCAGTTGATGATCCAAAGTTTGTTGGATTCATATAAAGTTGAGGAGGATTTTTTTTAACAGGAACAAAATATTTATATATATATATTTTTATTATTATTATTATTGAGTTAATACTTTATGTGGGTCATATAGCTCAGTGTCCAGGGCACTATTTTATAAGGGAAGGAATCAAAGAAAAACTCTAAAATATCAGTTTTTGAGTTTGACTTTTCTGATAAACATAGCTTCTGATTTAATGATTTTGTGCTTTTCTGAAGGATTTGTCAGTTTTTAAGATGTTGGAGAATCTATTTTAAAATATACCTCTATAGGTAAAACTTGAAGGAAGAAGAATCAACATGGCGGTTGCCTATAATTATTGTTTACAACATTATTTTGTTTTTTAGATAACACAAAAATCATAAATAAAATCAAGCCTCATCTTCAAGACTAAATATTCTTCATACTTCAGTTTATGCTCTCTGAGGCTTCAAACGTCAACTGTTTTTTTTGTTATGTTTTTTGGCATTGGAACCACCAAAGCATGAACATGTTGTAATACTCATAATAACATTATCTGACTATAGGTATGGAAAATGCTTTATTTCTTTTTTCAAAACTATTCAATGTAAATTGTGGCTTATTTGCTGGAATTTTGCACTCTAAATTGCTGTGATTGTGGGTTATAGCCTACAAAACTCCTTTAGGTGTCATATATTTGTTTTTAAATTACCTTTTTTTTCAAGCTTTATATTTTTCAAATGCTACATAGATGGAAATGCTATAAAACTCCACTTTGTCGTTAGGTCTGCATTCTTTTATTGAAGCTTCAACTTCATCTGAGGCTCAGTTTAGCACTGAATACATTAATGCTGACCTGAAGCTATCACTTGATCAAATATTTTTCTCAACATCACTATATTTCACTGAGATGCCCCAGCTTTAATAAATATCTTTTTTTTAAAGATTGTAAGGAATCTTTAAGGTAAGCTGCAAGGGAAAATGTAGATTTACTTTATGCACAGGAGGTTCAGCATGTAAAGAGGCTTAAAACTAATGTTGTTGGACATATGCATGCTGATTCATACATGATTATGATAGATGTGCATCACCATAACACGGCATGTTTTCAATGAACTCTACATTCAGAAGGTTTTATTTTTTACATGTTAGGGTATAAGAAGTCGGACGAATCTCCAGAGGAGCTGTAAGTGAACGAATTTGGGTTTTTCACAAATTTTAAGAAACCCAACGTCTGTTGCTTAAATAACAAAAAAAAAAAAAAAAACGATAAGCAAAACTGCAAAGCTCAGCGCAGTTGCAGAGTAAATCTGGTTGAATTAAATACTTAATTCCTGGCATGCATTGAAGGCCATTCTGTTAATGAAAAAGGAAACTTGTAATGATAGCCCTGATTTTTTGCTCGATCCGTCTGACGGTGATCAGCCAAAAAGGATTTGCTAGCCTTTCTAATATACTCAGAGATGGGATAATTGATTTCCCTTATCAGAACTGATTTAATTCAGCAAAGCGAGTGACTGATTTACTCGATTTGATCTTTGAGTTAATCACAGCCGATCTCCTATTGACTTTAATTAGAAATAGTAAACGTAGCCATTCTGTTTTAGTGTCTGGTTAACCATCTTGCACATTACATGTAACAGATACAAAGGTTAACTTGACTCATTATGCCAAAAAATGGCTTTAAAAGTAAATGAAATATTATATATGAACAAAAGTAAATATTGAGTATTCAAAATTAGAAAGACTGCTCTGCTCCAGAGGGTGGTTTGGCTGATTTTCAATTGTTAGCTTTTAAATTATATATAAATTCATATGTGATATTTCATTATACATCTAGTCCAATTTGTGAGATTTACCAAATTATTTAAAGTTTAGACCAAAGGAGAAAGTTTGGATGTATTTGTCCCTTATTTTATAAGGTTGTTCTAATAACAGAAATATTCGTTTGTTTCTCTTGAACTTAAATCAGAGTAGCCATGTATATATTTTATCATTTACACATATATATTCTTCTCTGAAACCATAACTTTACTTTAACTTCCCAAATATTTGGTAGGAGGTTAATTAAAGTGGAGCAATACTTGTGCTCATGGAGTATTATTAATATATGAATACAGTTTATATTAATTTGACATTTCTTTTATCAATAGTGTACATCTTCTGTCTGAAAAAAAACTTGTTGGTTGAAAGGAAATAATCCAGAAACTAAACCTTCTGGGTGTACCACTATGAAAAAAAGTCAGTAAAGTCACTGAAATTCAGACTGTGGTCAAACATAAGCCTCTGGATCTATTTCTTTAGTTATTCGACCAAACTTTGCTTTGCTCCAAACCACACGAGTGCAGATAAAAGAGCTGGATGTTCCCTTTTAGTTTTGGAGCTGTCTATACTTTTAATGACTTTGACTTTTCTCTATCTGTTAAATGTTACAGTGATTAAATATGTGAGTCTGACATGAAGGTGGCTCTTCATTTAAAGGTCAACAATGCACGGTTTCATGATCTGGTCCATGAGGAGCTGCAAGCTGCACCAAATTGTAACTTAGTGAGGAAGCCAGGTATTCTATAGGCTGATTTGTTTTATGCTTTTCACATAAACCCAGAGACCCTCTATCACCAAGGTGCAGCTTGTTTTGAACAAACACTCTTGCAGCGGGTTCATCCTCTTCAGTAGACGTGTCTCCTCATGTCTCCGGAACCTGAAAAAAAAAAGGAATTGAAGGGAAAAGTCAGTCACACACATTCCTCTTTTTCCATAGAATATGGAGGGACTGAGGGGGATTGGGAGGAAAAAAGAAAGGGTGGCGGGATAAACTATTAAAGGGGTAGTCTGAAGAAAAAGAGAGCCGGATATCCACACTGTCTTTCAGACAGTTTTATTGGAGTGACTGTCTATTGTGCTGTAGACTGATGGCACACATAAGGAGGGTTGAACACCATGGACACCAAACAGAGGATTAGCCTAGTCCCTTTTTGAGAAAATGCCTTTAGAGATCTCATTGCATTCAGAAGATGCAGCATATCCTGTAACATGCTTCTCCTTTTGAATGTTATTTGCAGGGGAAATATGGCACAAAACTAGAAACATCTATTTATATTTGACATTTATCTTTAATTCAAGAAATACTTGCCTTCTAAACTGATAATCATGACCCACCACTTTCAGTTGGAGCCCTAAATGAGTTTTCATTTGGGTGGCTTCTGGTTATATAATGCCAAAAGATTAACCCACTGACCCTTAAATATTAGCTCTCCATGTCTTCAGGGAAACAGTCCGGAAGAGACAACTTTTCAAAACATCTCAGATTTCTACTCACAGAGTTTTATATATGTATATATATAAATACTTTAACCCTTTTATTAATTTATTAAATACAATCCCACTATTACTTCTGGTTCTGCAATGTCTTAAAGTTTTATTACAAATCTATATTTTAATAAACGTTAAAATATGGCCTCTATAGTTAGGTTTAGATACTTTTTGTTTGTGAGCCTATATATGCCTTATTTCATTTTTTTATATTTGCTGCAGCACACTAAAAATTTTAATGCAACAGTTTTTGGCATTTACTTAATCATATGTAGTTAATTTAACATTTATTATTGTCTCATGTTAGCAGGGTAGGACATAAAACAATTGTGTTAAAGTAACTAAATACGATTAAGTAAATGCCAAAAGCGATTGCATAATTTTTTTCAGTGCAGTTGTCCGTTGAGGAAATCATGGATTGCTGTGAAAAAATGCAAACCTCATGTTTCAGGGAACAAAAAAAAAGAATTTAGATGT